TATTTTAGTGAACAATGCTGGTGTTGGAGTCGTCGGGGATTTTTTAACTGAAGACGGAATGAACTTCATAATGCAAGTAAATTATTATGGGCATTTCTTATTGACTTTACTCCTTTTGCCACTTTTGAGTAAAACTGGTACAGAATCCGAGAAAAGTAGAATAATTAATGCGACATCGATGTTGCGCGCTCAAGGCTCTTTAGATGTGGAGAACTATAACCGATTGGGTTATTGGTATCAACTTTCCATTTATTCAAATAGCAAATTGTCTGTCGTTCTCTTTTCTAAGGCATTAACAAGACGACTACAAAATCATAATATTGTGATTAACAACGCCGACCCGGGCCTCGTGGCTACCAGGATATATGAAACCTATAATATTCTAGTTGGATATATTTTGAATTATATATTATACGCGTTCTTTAAAAATCCTTGGGAAGGAGCTCAGACAGCTATTCATGTCGCGTTAGACGATGATGCTGGCAAAGTCAGTGGGCAGGTGTTCGAAAACTGCAAGATGACGGATAAAGCATGGACTTTCCCGTGGAGGGAGTCTAAAAACATGGACCAGGCTGCTGAGAAACTGTGGGACCAATCAGTGAAGCTAGTGAAATTGGAAAGTAGTGAACTAGGAATTCTTAAATTATAATTATCTAATTAACTCGACATACTCGTACATACGTGTATTTTGTGTAGGTAATGGATAGTGGATGTTGTACAATAACTTAATTTTAATTCAGCGATGTACTTTATCACTAAAATAAATATCTATTGGCAGTATTATATACAGGTATTGACTTTATATTCATCTCGTATTTTATAATTAACTTATCTAATATATAAAATTTCCATGTCACAATGTTAGTTGCCGTACTCCTCCGAAACGGCTTTACCGATTTTTACCAAATTTTATATGCGTGTTCAGTAGGTCTGAGAATCGGCTACTATCTATTTTCCATACCCCTAAACGATAAGGATAAGGGTGGTCCTCCCAGACCCCACCCCAGGGACGAACCCGAGGGTGAGTCGCTAGTTTAGAAATATAATTTGCTTGAAAATGTACTGAGATTTTAATTAGCTTAAAATAATTTAGTGAATCTTGCCTACTATTTATAACTTAAGCATTTCTAATTTCTTGGGCGTTGGTAGCAGAAATATACCTACATTTATGTTAAGAAATAGTCAGTATTTAGGAATTGTAAATTGGCATAAATCTATTGCTCAATCTGGGTCCGATAATCCTACAACTTAAAAACTCTTTAACTTCTTCTTAAAGCTTCGTAGTTTAAAAATATTTGCAAACTGAAACTTTAAAAATATTTGCCAAAAATTGTTTTCAACTACCATTGATTGACGTGTGACGTAAAACGCGAAAAAAAGGTACCTACATAAGAAAAGTAGGTACATAAGTACATACGTATTATTGACGTTATTCATTTTCAAGGTTTACAAGTAAGCTTGCAACTTTAATGTACTTACTAAACCCAAAGAAAAAACGGAACTCCAATTGTCACCCAATCGGACTCATCATATTAATTTATCGATCATTTCGAATTTTTACTATATTTTGAAACAAAGGTGTGAAAATAAGGTCACTTTGATAACTGACTCACTTTCATGACAACTGAAACTTGAAAAATATCTGTTAAAAACTGGTTTAAAGTACCATTGACTGACGTGTGACATAAAACGCGGAAAAGTACATATCATTGAGGTCAATACACGCGGTAGCGCGTCCAGTCAAGTTCAAGCCAAAGGAACTGGCGACGCAGCACCTTGTGTATATTTACACGAACCATTTGGAGCCACTTTTCACCTCGTGATGTCTCAAAATCTATTTAATATGAACTCATGAAATTTGGTTCATTTATTTAATACTCTTATATTAATCAGAATCTCCAATTTCATAAATACAGCTCAAATGGTTATTAAGATATTAACGTCAAAACTTCGGCATTTTTATCACTGACTGACTGACATATAGTAGTAAAACCTAACCGACTTCCAGATGACCTAGAAAGTTGAAATTTGGTATCCAGATGGGTAATCGTGTGCATACAAAGAGAAAAATCCGAAAACAGTAATTTTTTAAAATTACTAGTTTTTACATACAAGTCATCTTATAATCGGCTAATCACTTATATCTTCTCTATGCTATACGCAAGTTACTGTTTTTATATTGCAAGATTAACATGTCTCACTCTTCTAAAAACTTGCTTTACTGGTAAAAACTAGCCAAGTCAAATCTTGAACTTCAATTTATCCTAAGTTATCTACTCTGTGTAAATAATTCGTCTGTTCAAAGTTAAGAAGTTCTATTTTTAAGATTACGATTAAGAAAAAAAAACAAGAAATTGTGGCACCTATTTAGATATCAATTCTTTTGTCGGTGAAGTTGACAACCACGCGTATTCTTAATATTGGACTTGGCTCCCGTTTTCACATTTATGTTTTAATGGGATAATTAGTTTGCAAGGTTTACAAAGAAGCTTGTAGCTTAAGGTCTACCGCATATGAGTTATCGATCAAACTGTTCAATCGAGTTGTGTGCTTGTGTCGATTTCATAACGATCAAACGGTTTAGTCGACGATTGTACAGTGTACGTACACATACAATCAACATTTTAGTTTTCTTTAGTTTCGTCTATTAAGCGGTTGTTTTGTAGAACTCAATTAGGTTTGAATACAATGGCAATGGTTTAAAAAAGTACTCGATTGTTCTTTGCTTATAATAAATATTCATTTTTATAAGAAATTATTATTATTATATAAGTATATTTTTTATTGCACTTATGAAACAAAATATTGAAATTGCATATTAAAGGACAAAGGCATATATATATTCCCGTAGTAAAAAATATATGTTGACCAAAATTCATCAAAATCTATCCAGTGGTTTTCCAGACAGGCAAAAATTGTAAAAACTATAGATTCGGCCTCCGTATCGATAATAATGACAATTTTAATGAGATTTTCCAGAAAATACAAATACGAATCAGTTAGAATTTTATTATAGGTAAAATATGCCTGTATAGATTAGTGATGAAACGATTATCACTTAGCAGTTAGCGTGTACGATTACGATTATTGTGCTTAATAATCAACGATTTCAATTACGATTACTTCTGTCTTTTATTAAAACATACTTTTTTTGTATGTCGGGAAATGCATTTCGCATACCACCTGATCCCCCAGGTGGTGATGTGGGGCTCACCGGCTAGAAGAGCCGACATTCCCCTCCCCTCCGCCTTAATGGGACGCCGCAGGATCGCTTGCGCATAACTACTACGGCGCCCCGGCGGCAGGTCTGCCAACGGCTGACCACCAAACCAATGGGGCTGCTCCACAGTCAACTCTACTACACCAGAGAGGTACCCGGAGCAGCCCCATTAAACTGAACCTCCGCCTACCGAAGTGGGCCACCTCCAATCGGCTGCAGAGGACAGGTAGAGCGGCAATGAAACACCGACACTCCTCTTCCCCTGCAGCCCCACTGCGTCCGCCATCAAACGGTGGCGGCTCCGTCTAGACCGCGGAAGGTAGGGAGAACGGCGCACTGAAATACCGGCACTCCTCTCCCGCCGCGGCCTACCCCTCCGCCGGATGCGGGACTGTGTTCGCACCCATCATCCGGTTGTGGGACCAAGCGGTCCCACCACCGGTGGCCGCAACGTCTTCGGCTCGAGGCCTAGACGAGCGGCCTCACCCAAGCCATTTGGTCCGCGCCGGATTTCTTCGGTACCACCCGCCACCCTAAGCGGGGGGCATTCCCCTATCCGCCACCTGGGGAACGCGCCCGATAGGAGTTGGCTTCTCCCCCGGGATTATTAAAACATACCTACTATTACGGATGTAACTCGCGTAAAAAGAACGCTAGCTATCAAGCTGCGCAGAAGCGATTTATCGGTCAAATTGGTGGTAAGAGGTGGGGAGCGGGGCGGTGCGGGACGGCGGGGCACGCGCCGCGTGCTTGCCGCCGCGCTATTGGTTCGTCAGTTTGAAATACCATCGCGCACACAAAAGTTTTTAATTACGAAATGGTTTTATTTACGAAAAGAGAAAAATTATTTTTGACGTATATTGTTTTACAAAGAGAGAGTCTGATAATAATGCAGTTAATAATTTAAAAAAATGTATTAAACGTATTAATTTAATTTTTTGTAAGTATATTAAACATTCTACACTGAATCAAACATATTTTAATAATGAATAGAATTCTATTTAATGATATTCTATCCAATATATTTTTCAATGACTAATATAGGTATGAAGCCGCGAGCGAAATGCTATGAAAAATAAAATTATAGGCTTAGTACTTTTGTGCGCGAGTATACCTATGCGCAAACATACCCTCTCCTCTTTCTTCCAGCGTTCTTTTTAGATGACGCGAGTTATAGCATTGCATTGCTTAATATTAAATATACCATAAACTAAATTAAAAATTATTTGCTGAGGAATCTCCTAATAATCAAAATTAATAATTAAAAAAAAATGTTCAGAAAACATAATATTTCAAACTTGTCGGGCATCATTTTGTTCCTTCTTTCAGTTTGAATCAGGAGCAGTGGAAAATAACCTCTCCGATGCTACGGACAACAACGGTTTAATTGAAGATTTTTTTTTCTATTTGTTTTTGAAAGGCATAATATTGTGTTGCTATTTTCCAATACCAAACACACGCATGAACAAAAGATGTACCTGCATTATGTGCATTTAAGAAGTATGTTACAATAACAATAGGAATTTCTTAGAAAATTTAAATCATAAATGATCGTCGATTACGATTAATTGTAATCGTAATATTTCATTACTAGTATAGATATGGGAAATCATACGATTGCTTGCTACTTCAATAAATTCCCTATTTTGTGGGTACAGTAGTATTACATAATGGGCACACTGCAAATGTCATCTGCCTTGACCGTCGGCGAGGGAAACTACAAACTTGAAACTTCAAACTACTACTTTTCTTTTAATGGCCTTTTAGGTAACGTCATACAATGTCGTGCTTAAAGTTTAATGTATTAGTTTTTTTATTTTACACAGAAGTTTTATATGTGAGAGGTTCTACAAGACAAGTAAGTATTTAAGCAGTATTAAAATTCTCATTTATTTACGTATTATATATTATACATATTATGATATTATTCTATGTTACAATGATATTGTACTACATTTAAATAAAATTGTATTTCTTATAAATAAATATATAGTTAATGAATTAAAAATACATGTAATTTAACAATCTATTATAATCCGTAGGCTATGCGTGTTAGGTAGTATTCTTTCTCTGGTAGCAGTAATCAAAGTTTACTTACACATTTGCATGTTAACTTGACCAGATAAAAAAGAACAAAAACGAGCGTACTCTATGAAAATTGCAAGCAATGAGAAACTTATAATAATTAATTAACAGTCGTACATATGTATAGGTATAGTTTATTTTCTTACGATTAAGACTACCTAACTATTTCGATTTAATTACTTCCAAGTTAAAATTGTAATTTCAATTGTTTATGTTTTGATGCTATTATTTTTAAACTGACCTCAATTGGCATTAAACTTTAAATGTCATCACTCACTTCCTTTGCTTGCAACTGCCTAACGGTTAACATTATAAATTAAACGAGTAAAATATTGTACTTTGGGTTTTAGTTGCTCCATTGTGTACCTAAATATACAGTAGATTACTAATTCTTATTAAAAGTTATGGCTGCACTTCCGAAATGCCCATACTCATCTGAATGTTTCTAAAATTCAGATTAATCGGAAACATGGAGTATTCAGAAGTTTATCCAAAGTTATGGTTTATTAATTTATTTTAGAATGATCCAATTATTACTGTGAAAGAAGGCAAAGTTCGAGGCTCAGTCAGTACTCTTTTTGATGGATCTGTTTTCTACAGTTTTAAGGGAATACCATTCGCCTCCCCTCCAGTTGACGATTTAAGGTTTAAGGTAATTTTATATTCTTAAACGACTTCCAAAAAGGAGGTGGTTCTCAATTCGTCGCAATCTTTTTTTTTAATGTATGTTTACCGATTACTCGAAGACGCCTGAATCGATTTAGAAGATATATTTTTTTTTGCTTCGAAAATTTAAATGGGGCCATCTGGGAAATATACAAGGGTATACTTCCCAGGTGGCCCCATTTAGATTTTTATCGAAAGCGGTCGAGTTGTCGGTTTAAAAAAAATCAATAATAAATAATATTTTCAAAAAATGGCTATGTTATTAAAAAACTTTCTTCTTACATATTACCTGAAATGGAAAAATAAAAACTTAAAAAAACCGACTTCCAGGCACTGAAATATAAAAAATAACTAAACGGGGATTTTCCTTTAGAATAGATACTTAATCAGATATTTTCTAAGTCGGTGCCAGCCGACAATATTTTAAGATATGAATATCTAATAGGTAAATATGATTAGGTGTGAACTCTAATTATAGTTAAAATATTATACATCAATTTGTGATCTATTTTACGTATCGAAATATATTAGATTTGCTTTGCATTGGCTGGCACTGATTTCGAAAATATCTGAATCTATTCTAAATGGCAACCCCGGTTTAGTTATTTTTTACATTTATGTTTCGGACGACCAGAACCAGGGTATGTCTAGTACCCGGAGGTCGACCTGGGACAATCTCCCAGACGTTCTTGGCGTACACGGCAGTATGTCCGTTCGCTGGTAATGTACGCCACCACGCACCCCTGAATGCGTAGCTTGGGTCCCGATCCACTAGGGTTTCTTCGTTGACAGGAGACTATACTTAGAGGCGATGAAATAAAAACACAATTTTTCCTTTTTTCTCTCTTGGTTTCGGTTCTTCCTTTCCTTTTAGTTGTTGCCTCTTCGGTGGCTGTCTTGCGACTGACTCGAATCGAGAAATGGCTCGCCTTTTATTTGGCCCGTTAATACCTTACAGAGAGCCGCGTACTTTGAGCTCATTTTTCGAATAAAATTTCCCTAAACCGAAACCTTGAGAGTCCTTTTATTTTATGTTTTCAGTAAAACACCTTACACATATTTATTTATTTACATGCCTTACATACTATTATACAATATTAAAACATAATATTCAATATATAATAATTAATTAAAAAAGTCTTAAAACAAAAATATCTAAATTTCTAGGTTGCTACATTTTTACTATACATTTTCCCTTATAACTTTTGAACGGATAGTCCTATCGACCTAATTCTTGTTTTATTATAAGTTTTATAATAAAATCTATTATTTAAAACATAAACTATTATGCTATTGCAAGAAACAAAAAATCTCATTTTCAAGTTACGTAATTATATGCTAACATTTTACTTACGTACCTATTCCTTTCAAATTAATGTTAAATAGTCTTATATGATTCAAATAAGCAAAAAATACTCTAAACTAACCTTATTACACTAATTAGAACTTATTTTAACATAATAAATCTAATAAGAATGAGATTTCATATTTACAACAATTATTCATAATACGCTAAAATGACATTGTCCCTATATTAATACACACGTTACTCGAAGATAAGTTTTCCGTCGCCGACATTCTCCCCCTCGTGCTTTGCACCAACTCCTGGACTCGGCGACGCTCCCGGCACCAACAGCACCACTCTCGAACTGGGCCTCCGTAGGACACCTCCTCTGGTCTCGACGTCGACGACTCTGGTCCGCCCGTCTGGTCCAGGATACACATGCAGGATTCTTCCGCGTGGCCAGATGCATCTTGGTAGGCTGTGATCGACGATCAGTACGATGTCTCCGACTTGCAAATCTGTGGCGCTGACTCTTCCTTTGGTCTTCCTTGGTAGTAGAGTGGGCAAATACTCTCTCAGCCAACGTTGCCAGAAGTGATCGGCAAGTCGCTGCGTAGCCTTCCAGGTGTGTCTGCCCACAAGCTCGTTGTCCTCGAAGCTGCCGATTCTTGCTGCGCCACATGATCGCCCGATGAGAAAGTGGTTCGGTGTAAGTGCTTCTTCTTCAGGGTTCTCGGAGAGGTGGGTGAGGGGCCGAGAGTTGACTATGTGCTCGGCCTCTAACAGGAGGGTATGAAGTACCTCCTCTCGTGGTTGCCTTTCGTTGAGCGTGGCGTCCAGTGCGGTTTTAATGGATCGCACCAGACGTTCCCATGCACCTCCCATGTTTGGTGCACCAGGAGGTATGAACTTCCACTGCACACCGATCTTCTCCGCTTCCGAGATAAGGTCTTCTTGCTTCATGGTGTCTAGTGCTTCTTTGAGTTCTTTGTTGGCGCCAACGAAGTTAGTGCCATTGTCGGTGTAGATTATCTTTGGCATTCCCCTTCTCGCGGCGAATCGTCGTAGTGCCATGATCATGCTGTCAGTGGAGAGTGAAGGAGTGAGCTCAATGTGTACAGCTCGTGTTGTTAAGCATGTGAATAGAGCACCCCATCTCTTCTCATGGCGTCTTGCTACGGTGATCGTCATAGGGCCGAAGTAATCTATTCCCGTGCACGTAAATGGAGGGTTTCCGTGCATCAGCCTCTCAGCAGGTAAGTTGCCCACTGGTAGTTCTTGAGGTCTTGCCTTTCTTGTTTTGCACCACTGGCATTGATGTTGAATGGTCTTGATCGCTGACCTCAGTCCTAGCACCCAGAAGCGTTGTCTTACTTCGTTCATTACGGTCGCGTGATTCCCGTGATTGAAGCGGCAGTGAAATTCTTCTATGATGAGAAGTGTTGTCTTGTCCTTGCTGTCGAGTACGATGGGTCGTTTGTAGTCTCTGGTAACCCCTCGTATCGCGTCGATTCTTCCTTTTAGTCGCAGGAGACCTTCTTCTAGCACTACGTCGAGCCTTTTCAACTTGCTGCTGCCCTCTAATTGTTTTCCTTGCTGTAGGCACCTGATGTCCTCTTTGAAGCATTTCTCTTGACTTCTTCTTAACAACAGCGTTTCAGCTTGCTCTAGTAGACTTGTTTCCAATGGTATGTATTTCCTTTCTAACGTTTTTGAAGACAGATGTCGCTTCTCAACAATTTTCTTATTCCTTTTTGTAGTTTTCCAGGTAGGATCTTCTTTGCTGGCGTGGACCTTTTCCTTTCTTCTGCAGAGTTGTATGAACTGCAGTACTCTTGCTGTAGCTCGCCAAAGTCTTTTCCACGACGAGAACTTTTCGGGATCTGGTGATGGATAGGAGCTGCCTGCAGTCGCTACGATGTCCGCTGCCTTTTCTTCGCCAGTGGTTTCTTTCTTGAATGTTCTTGCCGCAGGCCAGTGAACTTCATCTCTTCTTAGAAACCCTGGTCCGGTGTACCATCGGTGTTGGCAGTCGAAGTGTTCTGGTACGTCACGTGTTGCATCATCTGCAGGGTTCTGCGCCGTCGGTACCCATCTCCAGTCCTGTGGTTTTGTGAGATCTTCTATCTCCGCCAAGCGATGAGCCACGAATGTCTTGAAGGTTCTCGGGTCCGTCTTGATCCATGATAGCACGATACTGGAGTCTGTCCAAAACGTCTTCTTTTCTATTTTCAGATCCATTTCTTCCTCGACCGAGTGTGCCAATCTGCTTCCTAGGAGGGCCGCTTGCAGCTCGAGTCTCGGGATTGACACCGGCTTCAACGGAGCGACTCTTACTTTTGCTGCTACTAAGCTGACGTCATAAGTCCCATTTTGATTTTCAGTTCTCCAATATACCGTAGCTGCATACGCCATTTCGCTTGCATCCGTGAACGTGTGCAGCTCCCCCTCGGTGCGACGTGGTGCCAGACATCTCGGGATCTGAAGGTCTTGGAGCAGCTTCATCTTCTCCAGGTAAGTCTTCCATGACTCGTACTCCTTTTCTTCTATCTCTTCATCCCAACCGACGCCACTTCGCCATATGTTCTGGAGCAGCCTTTTGCCTTGGATGAGAATTGGTGATGCTAGCCCTAGTGGATCGAAGGTCGACATCACGGCGCTGGTGACTTCTCTCTTCGTAGGTACCTTGAGTCCTTGTGCCACTTCATCTGGCGTGTTCCGAAGGTTCGCCCTAAAGCCTATGGAGTCCCTTTCTGTAAACCAGCGTAGTCCCAGTGTCTTCTCTTCCTTCTCACCAAGGTCCACCTCTGTCTTCTCAACTGACTCAGTCTTCACGTCTTGCAGCAGGTCGGAGTGGTTTGACGCCCATCCTCGGAGTTCGAAGCCCGCCTTTTTGTGAATGAAGTCCACCTGCGCTGTAATTCTCTTGAAGTCCTCTTCTGAATGGAAGCTGTGCAGGTAGTCATCCATGTAATGGTTCAGCTCGATTGCCTTTGCTGCCTCTGGGTACTGCTTCTTGTAGTCCGCCGCGTTCCGGTTCTTCACGTAGATCGCTGTGCTAGGAGATGATGTCGCGCCGAAGATGACTGATGTCATTCTGTACTCCTTCGGTGCTACGTCACGACGATCCCCTCGCCACAGGAACTTCAAGCTGTTTCTATCTTCTGGCCGGATGCGAACTTGCAGGAACATTTCCTTTATGTCGGCTGCCACTGCAAACGGGCCTTGCCGGAACCTCAGTAATACCCCGAAGAGCGATTGCAGTAGGTCTGGTCCCGGTAGTAAAGCGTCGTTGAGGCTTCTCCCTTTAGACTTGGCTGCAGCGTCGAAGACGATCCTTATTTTCTTCTTCAATGGATGTACCACGGAGAAATGAGGGAGGTACCATGTCTTCTTTGAATCTTCTTGTCCACCAGGTGCTTCTTCTGCATACTTGCTGTCGATTAGATGCTGGATCTGCTTATTGTATTCTGCCTTCAGCTGAGGGTCTTTGTCTATCTTCTTTTCAATGTTGAACAATCGGTTCTTGGCAGACATGTAGCTTTCAGGCATCTGTTCATCTTCATTTTTCCATAGAAGTCCAGCTTCAAATCGACCATCTTCTAGTCTTCTGCAGGTCTTCTCTAGGATGGTGAGTGCTCTTTCTTCTGAATCCGTAGTGGGTCTTCTTGGTAGTACTCCAAGTGCTTCGATTGCGAAGTGATCCTTGATGGCTTGATGCATCTCTTCTTCTGGCGTGCTGACATGTAGACACGTGTTTAAGAAGTGCACCACTTTCGCGCCTCCAGTGTCTGACCCGTGGAGCACCCATCCAAGTCCTGTTCTTGAAGCGACTGGTTGTCCTGGTTTCCCTCTTCTTACTTCTTGAGTCACGATTAGCTCCCAGTTGTCTTGACCGATGAGCAGCTGTGGTGACTCCCCCTTATAATATAGAGAGTCAGCAATCTTCTTCAAGTGTTGACACTCTTCTATCCTTTTCTTTTCTAGGAACTGCGGTGCAAGCTTCAACTCGTCGATGGTCCGGACTCTTCTCAAGGTCTTCTTGGTCTTCTGATGAATCCCCTTCACCGTAAGGTCCAGCATCTGAGAGTCTTCCTTCCTTATCAGCCTGCCTCCAACAGTCTCGATGACCAGTTCCTCCTTTCTTCCTTGAGCGCCGATTTCTTCTGCTACCTTCTGGTCTAGCAGCGACACTGTTGACCCTTCATCCATGAGGGCCAATATCTTCTTTGATCCTTTTGACCCGAAGATTTCTATCGGAATTATCTTCAGGTATGCCCTTGCGTTGTTGACCGCATTCACCGATGCCATGATGCTCGCCACTTCTTGTGGTTTGTTCTTCTGTTCTTCCGAGGAACTTTTCTCTGTCTCGACGTGCAGCAGATGATGATGCCACCTCTTGCATTCCTTGCACGACGGCTTCTTGCAGCTCTCCTTCCGATGTGTCCCTTGTAAACACTTGAAGCAAACGCGGCTTTTCTTCACTATTGCCCATCGATCTTGCACAGACGCCTTCAGGAACTTCTGACACCCGACGAGGAAGTGTTCACCCTCACACATGGGGCAAGTCTTCTCTGATCTTGAAACCTTTTCTTTGAAGTCCTTTTCCTTAGTTGAATGCGTTGCTTGTCGATGAGTCCGTCTGAACCCGCTCTTCTCTTCTGTTGATGCATAGGCTCCACACTTGTCTGCTTCTCTGTTCAGGAACTTGGACACCAGTGTTAGGTCGGAGAACTCGCCTTCTGTTGTTTCAATGAAGTCGTACCATCGGAACTTGAGGATCGTAGGCATCTTCTCAATAATTTGTTTCACCATCTCAGGTGAATGCAGGTACTGTGGTTTCTTCAATCCTTTTATTGCCGCTACGCTGTTGCTGATCTGGCTCGCGAAGAGGCATATGTCCCTTGGGTTTTCAGAAATCTTCGGCAACGTTTTGACCTTGTCCAACTCTGCCAGCACCAGTGCATCTGGTCTTCCATATCTTCTTCTGAGGGCTTGAATCACTTCCATCGGAGAGGCTTCGGAGTACAGCAGACTCTTGATAGCTTCTCTTGCGTTGCCCTTCAGTGCTCTTCTTAGCCGAGCCATATTCTGGACGTTGTTGAACATCGGTGCTGTATCTTCATAGACAACCTTGAAGGCCATCCACTCGCTGCTGTTGCCGTCGAAGTAGGGTAACTCGTGAATGTAGGTTGGCTGTCCTGCTGGTCCTCGCGTGGTAAGAGCTTCCTTCAATGCTGCCGTCAGTGCTTGAATTTCAATCGTAGCTCCTCTCGTTGAGGAGTTCTCTTCAGGCTTCATCTTCTGTGGCTCTTCCAAGGGGTGTGGACCTCGCATCTCTGGTTGAACTTTGTTGCCATCCTCCAGCACAGACGTCTCGATCCAGTTCTGCACCTGTGCTGTTCTGTCTTCCAGGTCTTCATCCACGGAGTCCTCTTCTTCACACTGTGCCATCTCCAATCTGACACGGGCTAGCTTAGTTTCAGCCTGTGCTTGCTTCAACTCCAGGCGTGCCAACTCTTCCTTTGCTTCTAGCTCGCGTCTTCTGGCCGAGGAACTCGTGGTCTTCGTGGACCTGGCGCGACGACTGACCCCCATCGGTTTCAGGGTCTTGGAGGAGCCTTGAACATCCTTTCCAGGTACATCTTCTTGGCTCTTCCTGGTCATCCTCTGTGCAGCATCTTCTTTGTTGCCTTCCATAGACGCCGCCGTAGTTGCAGTCGTAACCGTAGTCTCCGTCACTGTGGTGCCCTCCGTGGTCGTGGTACCCGAAGAAGTGTTCGATGTAGTTGCAGTTCCCGATGACGCCGACGCTGACGTGACCCCTTCTGATCCCGACGTTCCATCTGTCGCGTCCCTATCTGAAGGACGGGACCCGGGACGTGAGGGGGCATCCTTCTGCGACCTGGTTACCGGCATCTTGAACGCAATCTTCTGTTTCTTCTGAACTTCTTCTAGCAGGGATCCGGCTCGAAGGACCAACTGTTTCGGACGACCAGAACCAGGGTATGTCTAGTACCCGGAGGTCGACCTGGGACAATCTCCCAGACGTTCTTGGCGTACACGGCAGTATGTCCGTTCGCTGGTAATGTACGCCACCACGCACCCCTGAATGCGTAGCTTGGGTCCCGATCCACTAGGGTTTCTTCGTTGACAGGAGACTATACTTAGAGGCGATGAAATAAAACACAATTTTTCCTTTTTTCTCTCTTGGTTTCGGTTCTTCCTTTTCCTTTTAGTTGTTGCCTCTTCGGTGGCTGTCTTGCGACTGACTCGAATCGAGAAATGGCTCGCCTTTTATTTGGCCCGTTAATACCTTACAGAGAGCCGCGTACTTTGAGCTCATTTTTCGAATAAAATTTCCCTAAACCGAAACCTTGAGAGTCCTTTTATTTTATGTTTTCAGTAAAACACCTTACACATATTTATTTATTTACATGCCTTACATACTATTATACAATATTAAAACATAATATTCAATATATAATAATTAATTAAAAAAGTCTTAAAACAAAAATATCTAAATTTCTAGGTTGCTACATTTTTACTATACATTTTCCCTTATAACTTTTGAACGGATAGTCCTATCGACCTAATTCTTGTTTTATTATAAGTTTTATAATAAAATCTATTATTTAAAACATAAACTATTATGCTATTGCAAGAAACAAAAAATCTCATTTTCAAGTTACGTAATTATATGCTAACATTTTACTTACGTACCTATTCCTTTCAAATTAATGTTAAATAGTCTTATATGATTCAAATAAGCAAAAAATACTCTAAACTAACCTTATTACACTAATTAGAACTTATTTTAACATAATAAATCTAATAAGAATGAGATTTCATATTTACAACAATTATTCATAATACGCTAAAATGACATTGTCCCTATATTAATACACACGTTACTCGAAGATAAGTTTTCCGTCGCCGACAATTTAAGTGCCTGGAAGTCGGTATTTTTTAAGTATATATTGTTTAAAGACTATTATTGACTTAAAAATGTTTACGTTCAATACTAATTTGAAATAAATTTTAGGCTCCTATACCTCCAAGTTCATGGACGGATATTCGTGAAGCGACTAATTTTGGTCCTATTTGCACACAATATACTAGTAATGCTACATATCAAGGTACTCAAGGACAAGAAGACTGTTTATATCTCAATGTTTATACAAAATCGTTAAACGAAAATGCTAAAACTCCTGTTATGGTATTTATTTATGGAGGGTCGTTTACAGAAGGTTCTGCTAACACATATGGTCCAGAATTTCTTATTCAGCATGATATTATATTGGTAACTTTTAACTACAGATTAGAAGTCTTAGGGTTTTTATCATTAGAAACACCAGAAGTTCCTGGAAATGCAGCTATGAAAGACCAAGTAGCTGCATTAAAGTGGGTTCAAAGTAATATTGCTAAATTTGGAGGTGACCCTAATAACGTTTCAATTTTCGGAGAAAGTGCCGGAGCTCTGTGTGTTTTTCTTCACATGCTGTCGCCAATGTCCAAAGGTCTTTTTCATAAAGCAATTGCACAAAGTGGAACTTATGAACTGGCAAAAACTACTGGTGCAAAAGAAAGAGCATTCCGAGCTGGGAAGTTATTAGGAAAAGACACGAGTGATGTAAATGAATTGCTTTCCTTTTTTAGAAGCTTAAATGCCGATAAACTAACAAATCTTACTATCGCAACATTTAATGCAAATGAAACATATAGAGGATTAATTGCAAAGTTTTTACCGGTTATAGAAAAAAAGTTTTCTGGTGTACAATCTTTTCTTGATGAGGACCCAACAAAATTAATCCTTGCGGGTAAATTGAACAGAGTGCCATTTTTGTTAGGCTATAATTCTGGAGAAGGGATAATAATAGTAAATTATCACATCCCCCTACTAGATATTTACAACAACGATCCATCATTATACGTCCCTAAGGAGATATATGAAAAGGTTTCTCAGAAACAATTATTAGATTTTGGACGTAGAATTAAGAATTTTTACGTTAGTGGTAGGAATATAACCGACAAAGATTTAAGTATTATCAGAGACATACATACTGATATTTTCTTCGCATATACTACTCATAGATTAGCGTATTTATACACTTCATTGTGTGAAGGAACATACATGTATAGATTCGACTTAGTTACAGAATTAAATATCATTAAATCTGCTCTTGGTCTAACAAATTTAGGAGGTGTCAGCCATATTGAAGATATTTACTACATTTTTAATAATAATTTAAATCAGGGACTTTACCAAGAAAAGCAAGAGCTAAGGGACGTCGTGTACAAAGTAACAAAGCTGTGGACAAATTTCGCTAAAACTGGGTAAGTAAAAATGATATTGAATTCTGCGAAAGTAGAACGGGTTGAAAATACTACAAGTCTCTATAAGACAACAGGAATGACTATGCGGTTTGCCGTAAATTTGTTTTATTACCAAATCTAATAAAAATATTAAAGACATATTCTAATGTGACTATCATATTTTTGGAGGTCAAAATATAATATATGGTTATAGTGAGTAAATTGTTAAAATTCCCAAAAAAACCTACGAGAAAATTGTTTGCTTCGCAAAATCCACGGTTTTATTATGATGTAATGTGTAATGAAAATAGCTTTGATTAGTTAATTTAAAAATCACTAATCGTTTATAGCACTTATCAATTATTATTATCGACTACAATTGTTGTCACTTACACCATCATATTACTACGTACTAAATAACCCAATATGAATGGAATTGTTAGCACATTTTCCTTGTTGATAATATTTTCCTTCGAATTGTTAAGACGGGTATTTCATTGAGTCATACTCATGTTTGTCATTTTAGTTTCACCTCTTTTGAGTACTTTGCTAGTGTACCTATTACTTTGATTTTATTTGTTATAAAGTAAATAGTAGGTATGTATCAAACAACTTATTGATTATGGTCTAGATTTAATGTTTCAGATTTAAGTCCATAAAACTAAGTTGGCTCTAAATATGTATGATGTAGGTAGATAACTAAAAATACCACATCTCCAACTATAAAAAGTTGTAGATAGCTATTTATATTTTATGGTTATATACATATCTACGTACTTGTGAGAGTTAAGATAAATATGTAGTTGTGGTTTTCCAATTAGTAAAATTTTATTGTATTAGGTATTATTTGGTTTTATATTATTTGAATACATAGCTAAATTTTATTTAATACTAGCGACTCACCCTCGCTTCGCTCGGGTTCGTCCCTAGCTTGTTTCCCAATACAAACTTTCATCCCCATTTTCACCCCCTTAAGAGGTGATTTTCGGGATAAAAAGTATCCTATGTCCTTTCCAGGGGCTCAAATTTTCTTTTTACTAAATTTCATCTAAATCGGTTCAGTAGATTCAGAATTACCTCCTACAACGTTACAAACTCATAAACTTTACCTTTTTATAATATTAGTATAGATAATACACCCATTTGATTAAAACATACTTAAAATTTGGGTCATAGTGTCGTTTTTTTCGATCAATATGTTTGAACAAAACATTGCAAAAGAAAGATAAAAATAGTTCATATATTATGTTATCAATTGCAGTCGTCCAACGCCTGACAATAGTCTCGGGGCAATGTGGCAGCCATACACTACTTCCGGAAAAGAATACTTTAAGATTGACGAACCGTTCGCATTGGAACATTACGCTGATCGAAACAGAATGGAGTTCTGGAATCAACTCTATAAAGCAGCTGGTCTCTTGCACATATCGAATAAATAATCTGTTCTTTAATCAATTTAATTATATTTTAAAGCTATCTACATCTATATATCTATTTAAAACTGTCGATGATGTTAAATAAAGTGTTCATAGAAGAAAATATTTTTATATAAATTTTAATTGCATTCCAAATATATGTGGCATTTGCGTCGTAACTCGTAGATAACAATAGCTTACACTAATGTAGCTACTTAGATTATGTAAAGTTATAAAGAATTTTGCTCTATAAGAATGAAATTTGCGAATTGTCTAAATGCTGCAACTCATTTTTATATATAGCGATCCCTTAAAATATAGCTCTCATTTAAATTATTGCTGATTTTTACATGTGTTGGCTGTAAAGATTATTTTACCATATATATTTTTTATTTTTACATTTACGTGGTTCATAATCGGGTCCCTTATTTTATTTTTGTTTAAGGTAACTTGTTCTACTACTAAATTAAACATGTTCCTCGGCAAGCCTAAACAGGGATTATCTTACTAAAACCTTCCCTCGTGCTAAGATCCAGTTGAATATGTAATAACTTTGCAAAATGAAAAAATAAATAAAATAAGTAAATTCATAAGTTAACTACAAAATCCTTGTAAGTCCTTCTCACAATCGTTTAAAAAGATTAATTAATATTAAATATAAACAATAATTATCTCGATTAAACTAGCTTTTAAATTTAAATATCTATCTATATATATACATACATACATATATATATATATATATATATATATATATATATATATATATATATATATATATATATATATATATATATATATATATATATATCGTTTTTTCTGTTTGAGAGCAATAACATCAATGAATAATTATTTATATTAATAAATATAATAATGAATATTAATTAAAACCTACGAATAAATAATAAGTTATTCGTAGATTAAAACTATAAAATATTACGCAAGACTGGATTATTAATCAATTATGGGGGAAAAATTTTGTAGAAACGGCAACACTACTGCAATACAACGTTCTAAAATTGAGTCAATATGAATGAAACATTGATATAAATATAATTGATTATTTATGCAATAATTGTTTTCAATGGTATACCTATAATTCTATACAAATAGGTTTATTTTTGTACTAGATGGGTTTTAAAAGCAAAAAAAATCAAAAACGAAACGGCTAATATTCATACCAAGTTTCTGAACTGATGAATCACACAAGGAAAATTTTGAGCACCAAATACAATTTGATTGAGTATATAAATACATCCTCAATTAAAGTTTTAACTTATTCTTCGTTATTGCTTTCATTTGTAAGATGTTTAGTGCGGGAGGAACACTTTGTGGCATATTAATTTATGCACAGATTTCTGTAATAGCTTCTTCAAAACTTGTTGAAGTAAGTGTAGTTATATTTATATTGTTTACTAACATTAAATATTTGGAAATCCTAAAAACTAAATAAAAAACCATTGTTATATTAATTAAGACGATTTTCTACAATAAGATTAATGTAATTTATATATATAATTCAGATACTTTTTATACTTTAAAACATACCCGCATATATTTACAAATTTTTATAAAACGTTAAAAAAAATATTGTTTTAATTTTGAGATATACTAATAAATTTTGAAAAACAAAAAAAAATAATTTAGTTTATAATCATATAGCCTTGAATAATGAAAAACATTTCACTTAAATAAATATCATAGAGTGTACCACAACTATTTATATTTTATTTTTTCTGCAATAAATAATTATAAACATCAAATGTATTAAATTATATTTATTTAGTAATATTATCTTTATTTATTTAAGAATGAACCAATAGTCAGAGTAAATGAAGGTCAACTTAGAGGCACTGTTGAGACACTCGTAGATGGATCGTCCTCTTACAGTTTTAAAGGAATACCCTTTGCTGCCCCACCTGTAGGAGAACTTAGATTCAAGGTAAGAAAATTACAAATAAATACATTAAACACTGAAAACTATTGAGTAATATTATGAAATGTAAAATAAAAAGAAGCAATAATTTATATTCATTTGCTATTGTAGAGTACTTGGTATTGTAGTTAGTAACAATGACTGCTTGCGACTGTCCATTTAGCTATACATTCCAGTTCAAAGTTATAAATACATAAGAAGCATATTCTTAAACAGGCTTTTATTATCTATTTAGTTGTGTTGTATTTTATTTATGTTAATTTATGCATATTATTATAAAGAGAAAAAAACGTTTGTTTTGTATGTTTATGTGTGTTTGATATAGTTAAACTAAAAATCTGCTGAACCGATTTAGATTAAATTTGGTAAGAAGATAGTTTGAGATCTTGGGAAGGACATAGGATAATTTTTATCCTGGAAATGATCCCTTAAAGGGGTGAAAATGGGGATGAAAGATTGTATGGGGAATCAACCTAGGTATGAACCCGAGCGAAGCGAGGATGAGTCGCTAGTACTTTATAAAATTTGAAGATGGTATTAAACAATCATTTGTTTTTATGTTATTTATTGTTTGTCCTTGAAGGTTGCATAATATCTATTCTGCTCAGATTAGAACTTGTTTGTGAAGTATTTGGTCTCTAATGTTTACCTTTTTATATGGTTCCATATCAAAATGAAATTATAAAATATATAAATTTACTTTACCTAAATTACTAAGCTCACACTATCTATTCACCCATACTGGATTCATCTGTCTGTCTTACTTTAAAAGTAATATATCTATTAAACCATTAGAGATTTATGCGACTCGCACTTGACCGATTTAATGCGTAATTGTTTATTAGCATTTCCTTTTTAATAACCAGTATCGAACTGACATCAGTTATGATATAAAGATACAGTTCAGACGGGATACACAAAACAGTACTTATATTTTTCGGAATTAATTTTCGGAATCTTAAAAACTTGTGGCACTGGCCTACATATTACATGTTTCAGATTCGCGATTTTCGATTTAGCTGGATCGTCATAAAAAAAGAAGGTCGCAACTACGTCAAAATTGATTTCGAGATACTTGAAGTTTTGACGTAGTTACGATGAAAATGGATAAGATATCTCCGGATTAATGAGACTTTTATGAGTAAGACTATCATGTAGCATTTTTTTTACTGATTCCACTAAATTGTTAATTAGGGCCTTCTTTATTATGACGACAGTATATTTCACGTGACTTTACTAAAAAGGTCATATTACTATAATAATCAATAAATAATAACATTATAAAGAGGTAAAGTTTGTGAGTTTGTGAATTGTGACGTTGTAGGGGGTAATCTCTGGATCTGCTTAACCGATTTAGATGAAATTTGGTAAGAAGATAGTTTGAGATCCTGGAAAGGACATAGGATAATTTATATCCCGGAAATCATTCCTTAAAAGGGTGAAAATGGGGATGAAATTTATATTAGGAAGCGAGGTAGGGACGAAGCCGAGCGAAGCGAGGGTGACTCGCTAGTAATCAATAAAGTAATTTGATACACAAGCATATTATTTTCCTTCGAAAATATCAATTTAGGTCGTTTGGAAATTAAAAAAATGTATTTTGTTTAAGAAAGACGAGTTTATCCTTATTATTGTAATATCTTACAATTTCCTTGTATGAGTTTGGATAAGTACGGTACATACATTACTGTATTTTTCCGATTGTACGATCATTGTTTTTATCTATAATCTATGTATATCAGCGGTTCCCAAGGGTGGTCTGCGGAACCCTAGGGTTCCGTGGAAGGGTCACAGGGGTTCTGAGTTCCGTCCGAGATTTAAATAAAAATTTGTCAGACATGAAGCCTAATTCTAGTGCTATTATTAATAAATATGTGAAAAAAATTATTCATCACATTAAATAGTTTATAGGTACTTATTGATATTTTTCATCTATGATTTGTTCTTTTAAGTCAAACAAGAAAGAATATTCTAACAACACAATCAGTTTAGTTATTATCAACTAGGGTTCCGTGGTCAAAAAAAATTGGGAACCGCTGATCTATATAATATGCCTAAATATATGCCTAATCGCTAAGAAAAAGTTTTTGATGCTACGATAGCAAAGTTTAGAAATTGCTATTTTTGTAGCCAATTTACTTGAATGAATTTACTAGTTTTCCTCCTATTATATGCCTTTACAACTGAAGGGACAAAAGGGGCTAGTTTTAAATGTGGAATTAATAAAAAAAACGTTAACTTCAATTTAATACATATATTAAAATTCAATTTAGTTACATATATAGATGATGGCTTGCGGTGTATTTGAACTTTATATTTTCGTATATACCTATGTATGTAATTATATACTACCTCAGTGGTGTAGTAGCTAGCATGTACGGCTGCACATCCGGAGCTCCTGGGTTCGAGTTCAAGTTTAGTTTTTGAGTCTTTCTATTTAGTAAGCCTTAGTTACAACCCGGAGTTGCGAAGATAACGGTGTTTCATCCCCGAGCCTCGGAAAGCACGTAAAACCGTAGATCCTGCGCCTTAACTCTCTGTTTGCGCGCGCACTTGTGCACTGTAGCAGATGGCTAGTCTCAATAAAATTGGCACGGTGCCGGAAATCGGTCGGGAAGACACTATATATGTATGATGTGCAAACACACAAAAAAAGTCGGTAATGGCTTATCATTTGACCCAAATAATTCAAATCAAATGCAAAAACAAAATTCAAATTGTTCAAAACTGTATAAACTCTATATATTGTTGTAAAAACATTTTAGGCACCACAGCCGCCAAAGCCGTGGGAGGGTATACGCGATGCCTCTAATTTCGGATCTATTTGTACTCAATACAATTCTACATATCAAGGCGATGAAGACTGCTTATTCCTTAATATCTACACCAAATCTTTGGATAAACACGCCAAATTACCAGTCATGGTGTGGATTTATGGGGGCTCTTATTACGAAGGGTCGGGAGACTTTTTTACCCCTGACTTTCTTTTACAACATGACGTTATTTTAGTAACCTTCAACTATAGGTTAGAGTTACTCGGTTTTTTGTCTCTTGATATACCAGAAGTGCCAGGAAACGCTGGGATGAAGGACCAAGTGGCCGCGTTGAAGTGGATCCAGCGAAATATAGATAATTTCGGCGGAGATAAGAACAGTGTCACAATATTCGGAGAAAGTTCCGGAGCGTCGTCTGTTACACATCACATGCTATCTCCGATGTCTCAAGGGCTTTTCCATAAAGTAATAGCGCAAAGTGGAGCCTCGACTCACGACTGGGCTATCGGCAGGGACCCCGTAGAGAGGGCCTTCAGAGCAGGCAAAATCTTAGGCATCGAAACTAATGATACCTATGAATTGCTCAATTATTTACGCGGCTTGGACGCCAGTGCCCTAACTAACCTGACTTTTTCAACCTTGACTGAAGACGAAAAGTACCGTGGTCTTCCTGAAAAGTTTATCCCTGTGATTGAAAAGAAGTTCCATAATGTCGAAGCTTTTCTCGATGAAGAACCCATTGAGACTTTAGTGGAGGGATTTCCCCCCACATCCTCATTAGAGTTACCAGAAATACCATTAATGCTTGGTTACAATTCCGGAGAGGGTTTGATCATTGTCAAAGACCATCTGACTAAGTTAGACGTGTATAATAACAAGCCATCTTTCTACATACAGCAAGAAGTCGCAGAGAGGCTCTCTGATGAAAAATTAGAAGAATATGGGGACAGAGTAAAGAGATTCTACGTAGGAGACAGAAATATAACAAGTAATGATTTAGACGTTATACGAGACATTCTAACCGACATTTATTTCGTGTTTAACACGCAAAGATTTGCTCATCTATACTCCTATGTATGTGATTCTACGGTGTATTTATATAGATTCGGATATGAAACTGGCTTAAATGTAATAAAAATTGCTTTGGGCCTAGAAAATTTGAAAGGGGCAAGTCACGCGGATGAGTTATTTTATTTATTCTACAATTATTTAAACGAAGATTCTTATAAAAATCAAGAATTGAGGGAAATCGTCTTTAAGGTGACGAAACTTTGGACGGATTTTGCTAAAACTGGGTAAGTGGAACTCTACAATATTATAAAGAGGTAAAATTTGTAAGATCGTATGTAGGGGGTAATTTCTGAATCTACTGACCTGATTCAAAATATTCTTTCACTTATAGGAAGCTACGTTATCGCCGAGGGCTACTCGTATATGCTACTTTTGTATAAATGTATTTACTGTCAGAAATAATATACATAATATAACTCTAACATTGACTGATTGACAATCATCGTGCAAGTTATCTAGTAGTAGCACTTGATTTAGAAATATAAAACTTTGCTTAATATTATTTCATCTAAAACATTAAAAACTAAGGAAAGAATTTTGTAAATTCACACTCATATGGGATTATAGGAGACAGAAGTTGGCTTGGCAAATGAAGATAGAAATATAGAAATTAACGTTCAAGACTGTGTTCATAATGCCGATAAGAATTCCCAATACTAGTTAAAAATACTCAATGCTACTTAAAAATAAGGCTAAAATATCAATCAAACGGCTGTAATACATGTAATTACTAATTATTGTAACTACATACATATACACTCCGCGACAAAAGTATAACCCAGCACCTACCTAATTAATATACCTAATTAATAATATATATAACCTAATTTTGTAATATCCAATATAAAATTATAGTTATATTAATGCATTACTAAAACACAAACACAAAATTAGGTATTCGTAAGTATATTTTACAACCAATGTATTATTTTTTAAATGCAAAATTAACCAAATACAGATGGTAATAAGTTTTGCGGTGCGACAAAAGTATAACCCAGGTAAATTAAATATTATATTAATTACTACATACATTTCATTAGATTATGATAGATACAAAGTTGAGGCTAAACTTGTAGGTTACAAATTTTTTACAGGTAACGTTTGTACTTTGTATAGTTATGCTAATAATTAATTATTTAATAATATAAACCAAATCAAAATATACTTTATTCAAATAGACTTTTACAAGCACTATTGAATCGTTTTTACATTTTTTAAATTTAAATTAAATGTCAGTCTACATATTATGTTAGTCCGTGAGGAATTTACCACCGGCTGGGAAATCAGTTCTGCTGAGAATAGCCCAAGATTTAAAGAAGAAATTTAACAATTGCTATTTTAAATGATATTTATTTACAATATTGCAATACAAGTATTAAATAAAATTAAAACAAAATTCTTTATGGTTATACACATAATAATAACAACACTGAATAATATTAATGAAAAAAAAATGTAAAACATTCGAAACGTCGGAAACCAAAAATTAAAATAAATCCGTGAAAAAATCCGAAAGATAGTTTTATTTAAAATGTCAAATATTCGCGTAAATCTAAGAAAGTATTAAATATACTTGCAGTATACTTATAAGTTGGCGAAGCGTGGTGAAAGTAAGCGATGAGATCTATATCTTGGCGATCTTATAGCAGTCTAAATTCACTTAAGTATGTATACGCACAAGAATAATACCAGAAAAAAAAGAGACTTTTACGGAATGAAATGAGATACCATCAAAAATAAAACATGTAAAAAATTACAAGTCTTGCAACGCAGTTCTTCTACCGCAAAAAAAGTTGAGAGATCTAATGTAAAACCAAGTCGGATAGTTTATTCACTACCTATATATGGAAGCATCTATCCAACAATTTGGCCATAAATTGTTGCCTAAATAGTTAAATAACAACATTTTATAGTGAACGCAACAATATTAGATATGTTTATTTTATTTTTAATCCCATCGGATGGAAAAATAATCACATAATAATCTACTATTTTAAATAGTCCTAATTGAACATGCCGCTAGCGGGTCAAATTTATGCATATACAAACAAATTATGCGCTCAGAACTTTAATATATATTTTTTTATTTGTAGATATTATCATGTGTGCAATAATATAACTATTATATTACGCTATGTTTTCTATAAAAGCGCCCTGTTTCAATTTACAGAAAAATTCATTTCCTAAGATAAAAATAAAGGTGATTTAGATTATAACATATGGAGATGTTTGTTTTTGCAAGAGAGGACCTTTTCACGTTTCTCGTCAGCTCTTCTTGTCGAACAGTCTTTCGAGCAGGTGCGGACTTCCATACTGATATGTATTATAATTTAAATTAAAAAAACTTAAAAAGTGACGTATCGAATGTGCTTGTAAAAGTCTATTTGAATCCATACTTTCATATTATAAATGTGAAAGTGTGTTTGTTTGTTTCTTTGTTGGTTTGTCCTTTTTTCACGTCGAAACGTGTGACAGATTGGCGTGATTTTTTGTGTGGATATAGTTGGAGGGATACCTTTTACCGCGAGAGATTATCTCATTCCAACAGGAAAACACGTTATAGTACAACCCACAAAAACTCATCATATCTATGTGTATATAGATGAACCCGAGTAAAGCGATGTTGAGTCGGCTAGTAAAATATATTTTAATTTGATTGGTATATAAACTTAGTAATTTTATTTAGTAGTGTTGCTAATTAAAACCTTTTTTTGTAGAAATCCGACCCCCGACAATAGTTTCGGGGTAACATGGCAACCCTACACCACAGAAGGAAATGAGTATTTTAATCTAGACAACTCCTTTTCTATGGGAAAGAATGCAGATAAGGAAAGAATGGATTTCTGGGATAAAATTTACGATGAAACTGGCCTTCAACATTTGAAACACAAAAAAATCCCGTACCAACATATATATGGAAAAAGCAGTATCACTATTTGGAATGCAAATTTATGTGGAAAGTGACATGTGATTTTTACTTGCCTTGTTAATAGTTTCTATACCTACGAATAAATAATAAGTCAGGAAATGTAACTAACTGCGTTAAAAAAATGACCCAACAAAAGTCGTGTCCAAATAGCTGGGGCTTAAAAGTCGTGTCCAGCGCGTCAACAGTCGAACATTATTCTTGCAAACGAGCACATGTCAAATTTTCGCGTACGTTTAAATTTTTATCATTGTGCATTACAGCTGTAAATCATCATGCCAGCATGTTTTGTGAAGTGGTGCAGAGCCATACAAGATTAAATTTATCAGGAATCATAATACTTTTTTAGATTTACTTTATTTTATTTAAAATTATCAGGAATCACGTTTCATTAGTAAGTAATACCAAAATTATAATTATATTTATTAAAAGATGTTCAAATGACAAATACGTTGACAAACCGAGATGGCCAATGAAGTCAATCAATTTTTGACCTAATTTAGAAAGTATTTTTTTTCTTCTTGGTGAAATATTGAAAATAAAATAGTATTGTATTTTGCTTATTTTTTTGTCTCTTAGTTTCCCTGCTGATGTTATTTAGGTTCTAGGTATCTATTTTAAATAGAGACAGTCTTTCATAGATTTGAAACTGATCTTCAATGTTATTTTCAGGAGAATAATAGCAACACTGAATATAATGACGGCGTTGAAAAAGAACCAAGAAAAACAAAATTTAAAAATAATCTCGTTTCAATTCTTTTGAAAAGGAGTTTTAAGCCGTGTCCATAAAAGTGATCTAGAATTTAGTATGTCCAAAAGTTTGTTAAACGTTTCTAAAAAGCTAACAGTTGCATCTGTGTGTTAAAAATCAGCCATGTTTAATTGTTGCGAACAAAACTTAAACGCATCAGCTACATTTTGACTTAAGGTTTCAGTTGCTAGTTTCACGTTAATTAAATGTATAATCGTTGAATTTGTCAGAATCCGTCTTCACTATATTGCAAAGAAATATTTTTTTATAATGTCTTCTAAACAAAAACTTAATAAATTAATCATATTTCGCGGGACATTGAGTTCATTGAATTGTAAAATAAACAAAAATAAAATAAAACAAAATATGTAACAAAAACACATTGTACAATAATATTGTTTTATTATTGACTTGGTCTTATCCATTTATTGCAAAACATGGTCCACGCCGCTATGACTCAGCTGTCGTAGCAGACATTGCAAACCAATACCTTTTTTTTTTTTTTTTTGTTTTTTTTTTTTAGCGTTGGGAAATGCATTTACGCACGACGTGTGGGACTCACCGGCGTAATACAGCTAGTACTACCCACTAAAACCCAACAAAACCTTCCCCCGTCTTAATGGGGCGTCGCAGGATCGCTTACGCATTCAACTACGACGCCCCAACGGCAGGTCTGCCAAAGCAGACCACCACAACCTTGGGGTTGCTCCTAGGTCCACTCTGCTATCAGAGAAGTACCAGGAGCAACCTGCAAGGTACACCGCCCCCCGAAGAGGGCCACCTCCCACCGCCCACCGAAGTGGGCAATCTCCCTGTGCGTTTCTTAGCTTCGTACTACTACTACTGAGCCCCCCCACCACGACAAGGTGAACGCACGCTGGGGGGGAGCAAACCAATACCTGCTTTTGGTCTGAATTTAAACCAATCACCAAGCCTGTCTGTTTGTAACCTCAGAAGTGATTTGTATTTTAATCATACGTCGTTTTGGTTTGAAGTAGGGCCACTTTTTGTGTGGAATTTGTTCTGAATTAGACTTCCTGACTTTATTCGTAGTTCTTTCTATACATATTTTTTTGATACCCTTGATTAATAAAAACAATTTCTTTATTCCTATTTCCATTTTTTTATTGAAATATTTACCTTCATTGCAAAAGTTTTATTTTTATCTGTACGTACGTAAATGTTATGCTGGAAATATACGTATGTATATGTAATATGTCACCGTAAATTTTAAATGCCGTTAGATATCTATCTATCTGGCGAGTTTGTAAACTGTCGAAATATTGTGAACCGTAACATACTGTTTATAATTTAATGCATTATTTTTCGGTAGATTATATAATATAGTCTATCGAAGTCAAACCGTCAAATTGTGAAGTGGAGGATTTAACCATAGAGTTACAAAACTATTACAGCGGGCATAATGAAAATAGTAAAAAATATACTCATCTAACAATTTTATTACACTTTGTATTCTTTGAGTTGTCCATTCTAATTTAATAAAACATTATCTTCTATGTAATATATTAAAATTTCATTTATTTACAGAGATGATGGCTTGCGGGAAATTTTATATTTATGTATAATATATGTAATATATATGTATTATGAATAGACTAAAACTCAATCTTGGCGTTACGCGGAAACCCAAAGAATGAGGAGCTTAAATTTTATCGTTATATCGTTACACAAATTGAGATTATAAGGCGTTTTCCAATGATGTGCGAAACATACCAAAATAAAAAAAAACAAATTTGAAAGGACTTACCATAATATCGCAAATATAAGTTAATAATTTTTTTATAAATAAAATGTAAAAATCTTTTAGGCACCACAACCACCAAAGCCGTGGGAGGGTATACGCGATGCCTCTAATTTCGGATCTATTTGTACTCAATACAATTCTACATATCAAGGCGATGAAGACTGCTTATTCCTTAATATCTACACCAAATCTTTGGATAAACACGCCAAATTACCAGTCATGGTGTGGATTTATGGGGGCTCTTATTACGAAGGGTCGGGAGACTTTTTTACCCCCGATTTTCTTTTACAACATGACGTTATTTTAGTAACTTTTAACTATAGGTTAGAGTTACTCGGTTTCTTGTCTCTTGATATACCAGAAGTGCCAGGAAACGCTGGGATGAAGGACCAAGTGGCCGCGTTGAAGTGGATCCAGCAAAATATAGATAATTTCGGCGGAGATAAGAACAGTGTCACAATATTCGGAGAAAGTTCCGGAGCGTCGTCTGTTACACATCACATGCTATCTCCGATGTCTCAAGGGCTTTTCCATAAAGTAATAGCGCAAAGTGGAGCCTCAACTCACGACTGGGCTATCGGCAGGGACCCCGTAGAGAGGGCCTTCAGAGCAGGCAAAATCTTAGGCATCGAAACTAATGATACCTATGAATTGCTCAATTATTTACGCGGCTTGGACGCCAATGCCCTAACCAACCTGACCTTTTCAACCTTGACTGAAGACGAAAAATACCGTGGTCTTCCTGAAAAATTTATCCCTGTGATTGAAAAGAAATTCCATAGTGTCGAAGCATTCCTCGATGAAGAACCCATTAAGTCTTTAGTGTACTCTAATAAGTTGCCCAAAATACCATTAATGCTGGGTTACAATTCCGGAGAGGGTCTGATCATTGTCAAAGATCATCTGACTAAGTTAGACGTATATAATAATGTGCCATCTTTCTACATACAGCAGGAAGTCGCAGAGAGGCTCTCTGATGAAGAATTAGAAGAATATGGAGAAAGAGTAAAGAGATTCTATGTAGGAGACAGAAATATAACAAGTAATGATTTAGACGTTATACGAGATATTCTAACCGACATTTATTTTGCGTTTAACACGCAAAGATTTGCTCATCTATACTCCTATGTATGTAGGTCTAATGTGTATTTATATAGATTCGGATATGAAACTGCCTTAAATGTAATCAAAATTGCTCTGGGTCTAGAAAATTTGTACGGAGCAAGTCACGCGGATGAGTTATTTTATTTATTCTACAATTATTTAAACGAAGATTCTTATAAAAATCAAGAATTGAGGGAAATCGTCTTTAAGGTGACGAAACTTTGGACGGATTTTGCTAAAACTGGGTAAGTGGAACTCTACACTAATATTATAAGCGGTAAAGATTGTAAGTTCGTATGTAGCGGGTAATCTCTAAATCTACGATCCGATCCTGAAAATTCTTTCACTAATAGGAGGCTACGTTATCGCCGACGGTTATATGCTACTTTTTATTTTGATAAAATTGTATTTACTGTCAGAAATAATATACATAACATAACTCTTAAGGAATCTGTCCACTGCACCGTCTTATATCATAAAATAAAACTTTGCTTAAGATTACCTAAAAAGTTTAGCACTAAGGAATGATACGATTTTGAAAATTGGCCCTCACAAGTGGAGAGAGACATTGGTTTGATAATTGAAGATAGATATGTAGAAATTAACGTTCAAGATTGTATTGCCAATAAGAATTGCCAATGCTAGTCTATACTAATATTATAAAGAGGTAAAGTTTGTGATGTTGTAGGGGGTAACCTCTGGATCTACTGAACCGATTTAGATGAAGTTTGTTAAGAAGATAGTTTGAGAACCTGGGAAGGACATAGGATACTTTTTATCCCGGAAATCAGCCCTTAAGGGGATGAAAATGAGGATGAAAGTATGTATTGGGAAGCAAGCTTCGCCAGTTAAAAAGAAGCTAAAAGATCAATAAATTTTTATATATAAATAGTTGACTATTTACAAATACATTTAATTACTAAATACGTCTCATTAGATTATTATGATAGATAGTTGAGGCTAAGACTTGTAGGTTACGACTTTATACATGAGCAGATAACGTTTTAAATAAAAGTAAACAAATAACATTTGTTACGATAAGCTAATAAATTTAACTTATTTTCTTTAAAAAAATGATTTCCTAAAATTGAAAGAAGAATAATTCAGATTATAATATATGGAGATGTTTGTTTTTGCAAAAAAGCAACTGTTGAGTTTCTCTTGGGCTCTTCTCAGCAGAACTGCCTTCCGAGCTGGTGGCTGATTCCTACCGTCGTACATACTGATATATAATTTAAATTTTTAGAAATGTAAAAAGTGATGTTTCAGAAGCTTGTAAAAGTCTTTTTGAATAAAATATGTTTTGATTTGATATGTGTATAAAGTTATAATTTTATTTAGAAGTGTTGCTAATTAAAACCTTTTTTTTTAGAAATCCAACCCCTGACAATAGTTTGGGGGTAACATGGAAACCCTACACCACCGAAGGAAATGAGTATTTTAATCTAGATGACTCGTTTTCTATGGGATGGAGTGCAGATAAGGAAAGAATGGATTTTTGGGACACAATCTACGATGAAACTGGCCTTCAGCATTTGAAATACAAAAACTTTCCATTCCAAAAGAAATCTGGAGAAACCAGTATCACTATTCTGAGTGATAATTTATGTGACAAATGATTTTCACATGCCTTGTTAATAGTTTCTATACATTTTTTCGATGCTCAGTTATATTAAATCATGATATATTTTTTTTAAATTTAATAAAAACAATATATTTGTATTTTAAGTTTTTTATTTAACTACGAGTATTTGTTCACCTTCACTGCAATAGTTTTATTTTTATCTGTACAATTATTTATATAACATGATTTTTTTTTATGACCAGTTTTATATTACTTTCTTAGGTTTACGCGATATTTGACATTTTAAATAAAATTATCTTTTTGACGATCTATTATATATATATATATATATATATATATATATATATATATATATATATATATATTATATGTCTTAAAGATATAGTTGTATATATATATATATATATATATATATATATATATATATATATATATATATATTTTGATGCTAGTCTATACATATAATAAAATTGTAACTAAGTCGAATCTGTACATTAAATATTTTTTGGAAAATCTAATTGAAATAGACATATATCGATAAAGAGTCCGAATCTATAGTTTTTAGAATTTTTTTCTGTCTGTCTGTCTGTCTGTCTGTTACCGCATCACGAGAAAACCACTGGACAGATTCTGATGAAATTTGGTATGATGGTAGCTGGTTATCCGGGTCAACATATAGGATACTTTTTACCGCGGGAAAATATCCCATTTCTGAGAAAAAACAAATACTGCATTGTAAGAGTATATGTATGTAAAACCTAAGAATTTTGTTTTTAGTCATCTGAACGCGGGCGGAGCCGCGGGCATTGCTAGTTATAAATAATAGAGGTTTCTCATATATGGGCCCACTGATCCAGATTCCACTGTATATGAAACATTAAAAGACTTTCATAGGCTTTTTTTAAATAAAACCATCAATTTAATCGTATAGCTTTTTGTTATGCACAAAAAAAAAACAAAACGTTACGATACCAGTTTATACCAAACACCTAATTAGTGTAACGTAAGATAGTATTTTATTGGTTTGGTAATGATCTGCTGTAAGCGATAGTGCCAATATGATGTTTTTATACTTGAAGGATTGAAAATTGTATAGTTGTATACCAATATTTATATTAAGATAACCTTAATTCAGAGGAAACTATACTAATTTAATACCTACATTTAGAGTTAAAAATAGTGCGCATACGCATAATTAGCTCTTATCTTTGTTATGTCTTATATTTTCCTTGAAAATCAACTCTAGGAACGTACTATGTTTTATGATCTTAAATATTTTCCTCCTTATCAGACATAGGTACGTTGAAAGACTATTTATTTACATTTTGTTTATTTTTTACACATAAAAATCAACATAAACACCAATTTTCATACTCTTAACTTACATCTAGGATAGGATATCATTACAATGAATAAAAAAATGTCGACCACATTGTATTCAATTCAATATTTCAAAATGTTTTTGATAAGAAACAATAAATTCGGCCCAAAGAAGCCGGAGACGGTTCCATAGTTAATAGTTACAGATAAATAAAATATGAGGTTCGTTTCATGGTCGAATTCCTATTCTCCTAAAAGTAAGCTTGGTCAGTAAAAATGTTTCAAAATATAAACTTAAGTTTATTTACTTAAATTTAAATCCAAATCTTCACATAATAATAATAAAATTCTAAATGAGTCGAATCTGAACATTAATATTTTTGGAAAAATCTTATTGAAATAGTCATTATTATCGATACAGAGGCGGAATCTATAGTTTTTAGAATTTTTGTCTGTCTGTCTGTCTGTCTAAGAACGCATTACGGTAAAACCACTAGACAGATTTTGATGAAATTTCGTATGTTGATAGATGTTTTTTTTTAATGTTGGGAAATACATTTACGCATACCACCTGTAGACATACAGGTGGTTATGTGGGACTCACCGACTCGAAAAGCCAGTACTACCCACTAAAACCCAACAAAACCTTCCCCCGTCTTAATGGGGCGTCGCAGGATCGCTTACGCACTCAACTACGACGCCCCGACCGCAGTTCTGCCGAAGCAGACAACAATAATCATGGGGTTGCTCCAGGGTCCACTCTGCTGTCAGAGAAGTACCAGGAGCAACCCGCATGATACACCCTCCCTCCCCCCACAACAAGGTGAACGCACGTTGGGAGGATAACTGGTTATCCGGGTCAACATACAGGATATTTTTACTGGGGGAAATTATCTCATCTCTGAGAATTCTGAAATTTATACTAAACGCGAGCGAAGGTGAGTTGCTAGCATACCTATATAAAACTGAAAATGAAAGATATATAAACGCAACACGAAAATGCCCAGCCAAGAGACAGTTTTTATCACTATGACACGGTACAAGAATTGTGGCCTACACTTCTTCGATTAAAATTAGAATAATTGAAAATTTAATTTAAATTTTTTTACCTCTTAGTAACACGTAGAGACATATTTATATTTTAGTCTGATCTTTTCACGGCCGAATGGATGGCAGATGTCGTGGGTTTTTTAAATTTTTTATTTGAAGTTTTTTCATATCACAATTTTTCGTCATGGGCTTTTTAAATTTTAGATTTATGTTCTATTTGTGACTTTTTAATTTTAATTGTAAACGCAATACGTTTATTTACATATTAAACTGCTTTATTTTTAATTAAGTACCGAGTAAAAAAAACAATTTTGTAGGAACACGTGTATAATGTAGCGGCAGTCTGTATCATTATAAAAATTACTTGATAACGTGCTCAGGAATGAGTCTTATAAAAAGAAAACAAACCGTTTCAAAATAGGCCTAGCCATTTCCGTGAAAAATGGTAACACACAAACCTCTTACCCCAAACGCATATACCGTCTCCGTAGCCGTCACGGGTAAAAATATGTTTATTTGAACTTTCATTTAAGTACCTAAAATATTTCTTAATCAGGTTTTTAATAAATGTGAAAGTTTATCTTATTACTTGAAATGAAAATTGTACATTTTTAATTAGCAGAAGAAAACACGATGTTATATAAATTCGAACCGGAGTACACTAATTAATATTCTTTTAAAGATTGCTACCTGTTGCGATGCAATACGACTCAAGTTAGAAGAAAATTTATAAAGCTTTAATAGTAACTTCCGGGTGAACTTAGTTCCCGAGTTGGACAAGACAGCTTGCTATTAAGTACTTACAGGGGTACGCAACGTTACATACGTTGTATTTTTATTTCATACGTAATTTAATATTAAAAACCATTAGTTATTTGGAAAGAAGTTATTGGGACTTGGAAGTAGGCTTTTTAATATATTCGAAAAAAATATTCGTTTCTAACAGAAAAATTAATAATTCACTTTAGGGGTACGTAGTCGAACGTTTTGCTCTAAATTATATGGGACATTCTTGAGGAAAACCTATTACTCAAAATAAAAATTGGCTTTTAATAGAGAATATGCATGATTTTTTTATACAATAGCTTACATCGTCATATAATTGTAAAAATAATAGCTACAAAAAACTAAAATTTATATAGATACTTTAAACGCTCGCCATTTCGCGCGCTTGGCGTGACGTCACAGTATGATACGTAGAGAAAGACGACTCAATTTGTTATGATATACTCTGACGTCTTATTCGGTCTAACCAATGTTCGTTTCAACTAGTTATTTGAATTTCCCACATGTTTCTACTTTTAGTAATTATTTTCTTAATTTAAAAAAAAAACATTAAAAACTATTAATAAAAGCTTAATTCAAAAGCAATAAAGATTATAAAAATTAAAAAATATATTTCAGTTTTATTTAAATCAAACGCATCTTCCCTATTGGCGGAGATATCGTATACGTAAGCACCTTACAACTGAATTGAGTACCTCAACTTTTTTGAAGTCGAGTAGTGATAGCTGGGTTTTAATAACTTGGGTGGTAATTAAATTTACAAATAGATACCTACATTATTAAATAGTTTTCATAACTAGTTTTCGTCCAAGGCTTTACTCGCAAAAGAATGTCAATAAGAATAACTAACGAATAGCACAAATTGAATGTGCCTTTGTTTGTTGTGCGAGTGTTGTGCGAGTTATTGTTGGAGCACACGATACTGTGTTTATTCAAGTGTAGTCTATTAAAGAAATGTATGTCTTATGATTGTTAAACACGTCTAATTCGGAGAGGTAAGAAAAAAAAATAAAACACTTTAGTCATCTATATTTAAAAAGCCGATTTAGTCACTAATAGAAATAAAGGTACCTATACAAGCTAAGCTAAGCTTTGGCTAAAAAATGTTTTGAACATAAAAACGACTAATATATTTGTAAATAAGCACTCATTTAGTAATATCTAGATATTTCTAATCTAGCTTAGACTAAAAGTTGATCACATCTGGCTAGTTCATACAGGTTCAGTCAACCCTTCGTGGCCGATGCAGTCAGTTGTCGAGCTCCAGCCGGTCGACCAAGGTACGTGCATTTATATTTATACTGTAAATATATAATGTAATTCAAATACACAAGTTTATTTATATTTGCTAAAATATCTAAAAATGGGTAAGAGCATAATTCTTACTTTTTTTTTAATTGTTTTTAATAATTAATTTTGTGAATTTCGAGGAACAGCAGTTGAAATAACTAAACGGTAACTTGATGACTAAATGCTATTGGAACTTGGCCTTATATATACAAACTCTTTATAGTGTATAATAATTTAGCTTTGCATATTATGTGTTATATAAATATAATTATAGTAAAACTTCTATTAGGTACAATAATACCTATATGAAAACGCATAGCGTAGCCATACATTGATATTAAACCCATATAAAAACACTTGAATTTTAAAATTTAAATAAAAATAATGTAGGAAAGAAAGTGCTATTAAATATAATTTATTTTTACGTTTATAAATAGAACGTGTATTTTTTATTTCCAGATGCAGTGTTTTGTTTGCATGGCGTATCTGATGATCATTGCTACTGCTCATCCACCGAAGATTAGAGAAGCTACCAAAAGACATGAAAAACGATCTATATTCAATGATGTCATACAATCACTAAGAATGAGAGCTCAAATACCAGAAGAAATCGATATAAACGATGAAAACAATATAGGACAAAACTATGAAAAGTATAGCCACGAGCCTTTACATCTACCAAGCGACGTTGATTTTATGCCTCGAAGAAATGATAGAATTGAAATGCCCTCGTTGAAATATAGGTTTCCTAAAAGCTTAAATTTAAACGATTCTGAAAGTACTGGAAGTCCTAAAGAAGAAATAGTATTATTTGTCAATACACCTGTCGAGTATGAGTTTAAACCAACTCAAAGGCCTAAGAAACCGAAACCCACAAGGCCAACGTTTAGTAAAATTAAAAACAAGGATAGTGATGAAAATGAGGATAGACCCTTTACGAATTCTATGGCGGGCCAAAGTCAGATAGGGGATCGTGAATCCCAAACAGTTGTGAAACCAACTGTCATCGTGAATTTTAGAGGATCAGTTATGCACAGAGAGAGTGATATACGTCTTGAGAGGAAGAATAATGAAAATGACACAGTTATAGCCCAAAATATTTTTAATATAAAGCAGGAAATCAAACTCGATGGTGCCAGTGACTTGAGTAGTGGTGGAGATTTTAAAAGACTTCCGGCAAAAGTTAAACAAGACGTAAATGTGAGTTCAAGAGGAAGTCAATTTGAGGAGGATATGATGATGTGCGAAACTTCCTCATCCAAAGAAAAAGGGAGTCGTTCGAGTCGCCAAAATGACGTCTTGCAAATACTTTTTACGATTTAAACATTAAACTATAATTAATGAATAAGTACAGGACATAATAGTTCGATATCTCAAAGGCATATCTATAAAAGTTTGATAGCTTAGTAATAATATTTTTGTTATTTTTTAATATATTGTTGAAAAATTATAGAAAAATTATTCTGCTGTCATTAGAAAAGGGCCGTAACTTCGTCAAAGTTGATTTCGAGATATTTGAAGTTTTTTAGTTTCTTATTACTACGTCAAAACTACTACTAGTTTTGACGTAGTTATGATTAAAATGCTTATGGTATCTCCGGATTCATAAGACTTAGAGGTTTATGAGTAAAACTATCAAGTATGATTACAAATCCATATATAAGTCCTTTTTGACCAAATTGTTAGTTACGGCCTTCTTTCTTATGACGACAGTATTAAAATTATTTTTGAACCGTTACTATTATATATATAGGAATAATCCAGTGTGGTCTAAAGTAAAAAAAAAAATGAAAGCTTTACATGTTAGCTTAGTAAGTTATGAATACTTAGAGCTAATGTTTTTAATATTTTTTAAGAATAAAGTTAGTTATTGATTAAGAATTAACTTTAAATTAGCATAGTTGTTAGAAATATAGAACATTTAAAAGGGAAATAAACAGTAAGCTGACTGAATTTTACATAAATTAAAAAATAAATTTCAATAATAATAATGAGTTTTTAACTTAAAAATAAGCGACTAAATCCCGGATCAGTCCAACAAGATTTTCTTTCTTACCTTATCCAAGCCCAAACCACAGGACCCACAGACCCAAAAGGCCAAAACCCAAAAGACAGGCTGAGATGTAGTTTTCATAAGTATGCTATAATTTTGTTGATTATTAAAAAAGAATGTTGTATGATGAATACGATATATATTATATAACGCACTTGTTCATAATGTGAGGAACATTCTTCTGTAGTGTAAACAACAAAAATATTTTTTTAAATGTTTGATACGAATTTTTTTAGCAATATTTGGGTAAATAGTGATGTAAAACAAAAAAATACATTAAGAATAACATGCGTTAAATTTTATGATTACATACTTAGTAACTTTATATAATTACTAGCATTGCCCGCGGCTCCGCCCGCGTCCAGATGACTAAAAACCAAATTCTTAGGTTAAGGTTAAGGTTAAACCATATTCTTAGGTTTTACATATTAGTATACTCTTACAATGCAGTTTTTGTATTTTTTCTCAGAAAGGAGATATTTTCTCGCGGTAAAAAGTATCCTATATGTTGGCCTAGATAATCAGCTATCATCATACCAAATTTTATCAAAATCTGTACAGTGGTTTTCTCGTGATGCGGTAACAGACAGACAGACAGACATAAATTCTAAAAACTATAGAATCGGACTCTGTATCGATAATAATTTCTATTTCAATAAGATTTTCCAAAAAATATTTAATGTACAGATTCGGCTTAGTTACAATTTTATTATATGTATAGATTATTAATGTTATCTAAGTTTGAATGATTGTATCATCGATATTTTATACATTTTATTGATGTATCAATGTATTCAGTGAAGTCATTGAACTTTTATTTGAATTAGATCTGGATTTTATATAGTTATTGCCTATTACTTCCTTCTAATTTTACATAAGAACTCAAGGTTACATTTTATGATTTTACTCATAAATTATGTTTATTATCTCCTCTCTCATCTTCCACTCTCTCATGAATTGTAAAAAATCTATACATAATTATATACATATAAATAAGATTGAAGTGTCTGTCTGTGATTTCAATTAACAATGTTTTCTCAAGTACCTACCTAGAGTTATTTATAATATGATACTAGTACCTAACTCTTTAAAAATTTTGTCAGTTTGCCTGTTTTACTGTTTGTTCAGGGTAATTATGGAACGGCTTAATCGACTGTAATGGGACTTTCAATGAAAGATGGAGGAGTTTGTTTGTATATAAGGTATGTTTTATTTTAGAAATATTAAAGGTTCTTGAAAATCGAAAACTTAAAAATTACGCATAACTTGAATTTACGATCTCACAAAACACTCCGCGATAGCATGTATGTATCTCCTAAGGTACACTCACAATAACAATTTTTATCTATTGAAAACCTACCTAGGGAGTAGGGACGCACTCGGGCGAAGGCGATATTACTTGCATAATAGATACGTAAAAGCAAGTAAAAAACTAAATTCTTTATAACTTTATACAAAAAGCTCAACAAAAAATCCCATAACGCTACAACTTCTTGAATTGAAATAGACGACTTGCATCACAGCATACGTACTCGATTTTGCAATGGACTTTTCACACGTATTTCTTATGCCCAAATAGAGTATGTACAGTATATACTACGTACGATGAGGCGAACAAACTTCTTTTTTCCCTATAAGAGTTCTTCTGCGCCTTATATATTTTTGCGAGCAATGTATGCATTACGTCAAAGCTTTAATTCACTTACTTAGATAAAATATTTATTGAATACATTTGAAATGTGAGGAAAAGAGATACTTCTTTCGGATTTGAGACTACAATAAATAAATATAATAAATATGTTGGGACATTAACACACAGCACCATCTAGTTCCATGGTAAGCTACGAGGCTTGTGTTATGGATACCAGATAGTATACACTACACATATATAACTTTAAATACATACATGTTATAAATATAAACACCCATGACTGGAGTACAAACATTCATGCTCATCACACAAATAAATGCCCCCAGCGGGACTCGAACCCGCGACCGCTGGCACATCAAGTATAGTCACTACCAACTGAGCCAAACGTGTCGTCACGACAATGAGTCGTTACTGAGTGACAAAGTGAATAGCTCGCATTTATCAAGACACGCAGTAGTGTGTCCAGCCAAGTTCAAGCCAAAGGTAATAAATATAACGTGATTAAATATCTACTAATAAAGTTTCAACGCTATGCGTACTTTGCTCGTAAAAATATATAAGGCGAAAACTAACTGTTTTGACGACACGTGGACACGTTGGCTCAATTTGTAGTGACTAGTGATCCTACTTGCAGTGCCAGCGGTCGCGGGTTCGAGTCTCGCTGGGGGCATTCCTTTGTGTGATGAGCACGAATGTTTGTACTCCAGTCATGGGTGTTTATATTTATAATATGTATGTATGTATTAAAAGTTATAAAATATGTGTAATATGTCTCAACTATTTGGTATCCATAACACAAGCCTTATGTGTAAGACCAAACATATTTATTTATTTAATATTTTTATTTGGGCATAATAAACTACGTGTGAAAATTGCATTGCGAAATCAAGTGCGTATGCCGTGATAAAAGTCGTCTATTTCAAGTAGTGTTTCTACGGAAGTTTTTGTTGAGCTTTTTATATTAAGTTATGTATATTGAATAAATTTTAAAGCTGTATCATAAAACTAATAATTTTCGAGATATTAAGTTGTAAGAGTATATAAAAGCTGATTTTTGCAACATTATACGAGTATTGCAACGGACATTTGGCGATTATTTTATAATTGCTGACTACAGAGTTACGCCTTCGGGCAGCCTGGGAAGGTATTTTTATATTATGTGAAGTTTTAACCAACTCAGCAAAAAAACAGTTACAGCAAGTCATTTTCTTTAATTTTATGTATATATTGGCGTCATGGCACGGCCACGTAATATAATTTTTTTGTAACAATATTATTGTTCAATAAAATTTGTTAGTTAGTCGATAGATATTTTTATAGAATACTAGCGACTCACCCTCGCTCCGCTTGGGTTCGACCCTACTTACGTTTTAACGTTTAGTATAGATTTCTCAGAAATTAGTTATTTTCCCACACAAAATGTATCCTATACGTTGACCCGGATAACCAGCCATCATCATACTAAATTTTATCAAAATCCCTACAGGGTTTTTTCCGTGACGCGGTCACAGACAGACAGACCGACAAAAATTCTAAAAAGTATAAATTCGGCCTCTGTATCGATAATAATGTCTATTACAATAAGATTTTCCAAAAAATCTTTAATGTACAGATTCGGCTTAGTTACGTTACACTTATAATAAAATTGTAAGTAAGCCGAATCTGTATATTAAATATTTTTTGGAAAACCTTATTGAAATAAATATTATTATCGATACAGAGGCCGAATCTATAGGTTTCGGAATTTTTGTCTGTCTATCTGTCTGTATGTCTGTTACCGCATCACATGAAAACCACTGGAAGAATTTTGATGAAATTTGGTATGGTGGTAGCTGGTTATCCGGGTCAATATAGGATACTTTTTACCGCGGAAAAATATCTCATTTCTGAGAAAAATATAAATACTGCAGTGTAAGAGTATACCTAATATGTAAAATCTAAGAATTTGGTTTTTGGTCACCTGAACGCGGGCGGAGCCGCAGGCAATGCTAGTTTTATTATATTTATAGATAGATATTTCTTATGGTGGAAAACCTAAGAAAAAACATAAATGAATCAAATTAAAAATACAACAAAGTGTAAGATTCTTAATATTTTCCTTAATCAAGACATGTTATTTTAATTTTTCTTTATCTTAAAAAAGAACACTCTTTTCCTTCATTTTCATTTGTTTGGATTATTGAGCTAAGTATGTCAAATGTAAAGTAAACCCAGTACAAACAAACAAACCTCGGCGAGTGTTTCGTATACTCGTTAAAAGCACTAAACATGTTTCTTTCCTAATTAAAGGATAAGATCAGACACAAGAATAGATTTCATATGAATATAAATGATTAGTTTTATAGAGCTGCTTTCAAAACCTCAAATAATATTCGTTAGCTGATGATTGGCGAATCCTTGTATTAGATTTGGGAGTTTTTACCATAGAACTACTAATATCATCCGGTTACTTACGCTATTCCACGCACTCTTTTGAACTTCGAAAAGCAACAGGTACTCAAGTCAGCTATATATTTTTTGTAAAAAAAACCTATATGAAAATCCAATCATCGCCAATACCTACCTGTTGTAATGCTTATTATTATTTATACTGGATCATAATATGCAGGAAATATGATGCCTAGTCTATGTCCTCCTGACACATTACGGCTACGGTGGCAAATATCATTAAGATACCTATCACAAAATGTACTGAGTTCGAGCGGCCGACGCATCGCATTTTGTGCAGTTGTAATTACTTTTATGTAAAGTTTTATAACAAACTAGCACTGCCCGCGGCTCCGCCCGCGTTCAGATGACCAAAAACCAAATTCTTAGGTTTTACATATTAGATTACTCTTACAATGCAATTTTTGTATATTTTTCCAGAAATTACATATTTTCCCGCGGTAAAAAGTATCCTATTTGTTGACCCGGTAACCAACTATCACCAAACCAAATTTCATTAAAATCGCTCCAATGGTTTTTCTGTGATGCGGTAACAGACAGACGAACAAAAATTCTAAAAACTATAGATTCGGCTTCTGTAATAATGTCGATAATAATATTTATTTCAATAAGATTTTTCAAAAAATATTTAATGTACAGTTTTATTCAATGTATAGTTTGTTTAATTTAAAAAAAAGTATGTTATTTCTTTTGAACTGACGTATATTTTGGTTTAAATTTTACTTAATAATATTAATGTTGTAAGGGTATATTTACAGCTAATTCAGAAAGTTTTTAAGATTTTGAAAAGGATTTTTTTTGTAGAAATCCAATATATATTTTCAAATTCCGAGGCCTTTGTAAGCTCAACCACTATATACGAGATATCATTATATATTGTTTCATTTCGTTTGCTTAGTAGTATTTCAATCCGCGAACTTGAAAAAGTGCAGTCGTGCATTTTTATTAAAAACTTGCCTCGGAATTTTGGCTTCATTTCAATTAATAATGAAAATTTGCGAAAAGCGAGGCCGCTATGAACTATATTAATAACTATATCGTGGACCATAAAATAAGTCCAAATAGTCAAAGATTTTCAGTATCTCGGAATAAGAATGCCAAAGATGGGTATTTAATTGAAAAATCACGGTTGTAACAGGCCTCATAAGATTAGATAACTGCGTTATACTCGTAGTGTATTATAGGGCACATAACGTGAAATCAAATACAATTGCAGCTAGATTCCTTTTACTTTCAAACTCCGAAAGGGCGACAATCCGACGCTCTCAATGAAAAATCAGGTATAGGACAAATATCTTTTCTAAAGCACTAAAGAAAATCGTCTACTACCCAATTCTAGTTTGCTATCAAGAATTTCTTAACAGAAAAACCCACTGGCAATACTCGACAATACGATCTCAAGTTTGGTGCCTACATACTAGCCAGGGGACCAACAAAGCAGTTTTAGCAATACTAATGTACGCCCAGTGGTTGAAATCCGACCATAATCATTATTCAAAATTTTAGGAAACTTATATAAAAAGAATTTAACTATCTATATAAAAAAAACTGTTTCCAAAAAAGCTTGTCAATAATAATTGAACTAAACAAAAAAAATCTGTTGACAAACAGAGGAAACAAAGTTACTGAACTGTTTGAAGGCTTTATAGAATTTTGCTATATATACGAGTAGACCATGTAGAAATACTTATTATTATTTAACAAAACGTAATCCCTCGGAAACGTCTCACCATAAACTTTTTTGTTACTTTAATTTACCTGCCTCATATAATAACTGTCGAATAAGTAATATTTAGAAGCAATTTATTAAATGTTCAGAAGCAAATTTATATTAGCGATTTGCATTTCTCTATGAGGCCGATCTTATAAAAGGATTATAAGGACTTTTTCATGATAGCTTTTATGTTTAGTCTTTACAATTTTGTCTTAATTGTAACGGTTCCGTACGTTAAAACGAAATAATTGAACGCTTATAGAATGTGCTGATGGAACCCTGTTAGGTACATGTGTCATTCTGTCATAAAATATGGAATGGGTATGCACTATGCACTATCTAATATATAAATATCTCCTGTCAAGGTGTTTGTGGTCACACTCCTTCGAAACGGCGCGCGATTTTAATGTTTTTTTTGTATATTTGCTAGGCATGAGAATAGATCGTAAAATATATTTTACCTCACCCTCCATTTTTTAATCGCGATATTAGTATTTTTGTATTAACAATATCCAAATAATTTAATATATATAAATACATATAATATTAAATTATCTGGATATTATTGTTCATGCAATATAAAGCAAAAGTGTTTTTTTTTGTAGACCGAGTGAAGCCATGGGTTTTGCTAGTATTTTATGTAACACTCACACTTGGCCAATTTCGTAAATCCAATGAAAAAATTGACACAAAAAAACCTTCTTTCTGTCAAAGTGTCAAAACACTTACGAATTGAGAACCTCCTCCTTTTTGGAAATCGGTTAAAAAAGACGTAACGGCAGTAATATTATTCATAATTTAATCGTGTCGCATTTCAAGTGAACCAATTAGCAATTATTATCATTTTATATGTTCATATGCCAAATATATCATCACAAGTTATTATAACGTGATATTGAAATGTGGATAAGTATGCGTCAATAGTGTTGGAAAACAAAATGTCGACAAACCACTTTAAAAATATGGTATAATTGAAGTGACTTGATATAATTTCTGACGAAATTACAAAGAAGTATGTTATTAATGATTAAAAACATTATTATTATATGCTTATTGAGACCAAAGAGTACCTATAGTTAAAACGTATAGGTGAAGCATTCGATGTGTCTATTCGTCCGATAATCGGATGAATAAAAAATATATTATTCGTCGGATTATATCAATAGTTAAAGTTTCGAATAACATCGAATGGACTTAAATTAATAATCATTATGACGCAGATAGATTCTCCTAATAAAAATCATTTTTAGCTGTTTTTTATACAAATGAAAACTTTTGAACAGAACAATCGTTGGAATCTAAAATAATAAGTTTTTAGTTCGGTAGGTTAAGGTTATTTTTTTTGCACATAGAAACTTCTGAATCTAAAAATCACTCGTTTTACATTAGAATAGGAAAATGTGGTAGATATTCGTACAAACCGACAATAGTACAACGAAGTTAATAGACGAATAACTATTCCTTAATCACCCGACGGACGAATAGCAACAGCCTAAAGCATTAGGCTATATATAGCTATAGATCAATACATCACAGTTCAACTAGTTGAACTAGAATTTAATTTAAGAATTTCTAGAATTTGAGAAAAGCTGTTATATTAATTAAAAGTTCTAAGGGCTTTCTTGCATGATTTGTTCTACTCGCCATCGTTCGCGTGAGGCATGTCCTTATAAACAAAGTTTTTGCACTATACTACACTACCATAGGCTTATCTCATAGAAACCATTGTTGATGATGACTAATGATGTATGTACAAGGAAAAAAATAATAATTTAATAGCATTCTCCGGCCTGTTTGAAGATTTGGCCATTTCATATTTTTTTATTACAGTATAAAATAACAAACAACCTTTGATATTAATTTTAACTGTAGAGATAATGAATGAATATAACGGTTAAAATGTGTTTATTTAATAGTTTTCTTAACTTTAATTTTATAAACACTAAGTAAAAAATCACTTTGAACGTACCTATTTATTTACCCCTAGGGCCAGATATTTTTCTTGCGATATATTAACTATTCATAGAAAAATCTGTCTATAATAGACAAAGACTCTTTCTTGGATAAATTGGTAAATAAAGCTAAGTACTGATGACTGTGACTAACGCATATATGTATAATACGTGATATGAAGCCACCTCCGGCTTTAAAAATTATAATGACATTTTGATAATCTTAAATAAAATATAATAAATCCATTCTATAAATATCCATATTATAATTAATGTGAAAGTGTGTTTGTTTGTTGGTTTGTTTGTTTGTTTGTTTGTTTGTTTGTTTGTTTGTTTGCCCTTTCTTCACGTCGAACATATAAAAATAATAAATGAGGTATTCAAATAAATCAACTGATAACTAAATATTACAAATATAAGTGTTAACACTTAAATGATTTTTAATAGTCTCAAAATAACAATGTTGTGAATTGGCGAGTCACTTCGACTTTCACATTTCGCATCCCTGCTTCGTTACTATGGAAACTCGAATTTGTTTTGGTATTTTAATATTAGTATTGTTCTGCATAAATTGTGAATTTATTAAATGTCAAATATAAAATAATTATAATGTTGAAAATTATTTATACATGAAATCAATACAGTTAATTCTGCCTTCTATATATTATTAGACACTTACCCTCGCTTCGCTGGAGTGCGCGCCTAGGTACGTTTTTTTTGAGCGGAACCCTAATTCTTTTTCTAAAATAAAATCAGCCCAAGTTACTCTTTATAATATCAGCTATATGCCAGTAAAAGTCCCGTCAAAATCAGTCCAGCCTTTACGTACGGAGATTAGTCGGAACCAACAGACAGACAGATGGACAGGCATTTTTTTATAAGTACCGTATACAATTCAATTCAATTCTTTATTTTCATGACCGTATATAATTTCATATGCATTTAGTAAAAAGCTGTTACTTTGACATTACAAACAGACACTTCAATTTTATTTAGGTATCTGTATAGATATTTAAAGTTAACGGATTTCGTAATATATTTAAATTTAAAATAATAACCTAAATTATTTGTCATTTACAAATGAGACTTTCGCGATGAATAAGAAAAAAATACTTGTTTTAAAATTAACATAAAGTAATAAATATTTTTCGAAAAAATCTGTCCTGTTACTTTTAACTACCTTATATAATATAGAAAGTTTGAAATAATAAAACTTGAAAGAAATTTAATAAAACAGTAAAAAAATTAGCTATCAAAAAATCAAATCACACGAAACTCGATTCTAAATAATGCAAATAGTAGAGCCTTGACCGCGAAAAGCAAAAAGCTTCCGAAGAACATTCGCCTTCAAACAACACACGGCATCTCGAGAAGGCACACGTTGACACTGTTTTATTTGAATACAACTGAAATGTCGCCGATATATTCCGGACTTTTGGTGAGTACATTTAAGTTTCCAAAAACTAATTCTTTTTTTATATTTTCTTTTATTTTCGACTTAACATGAAAAAAAACAAGCGGTATTATTTATACTTTCAACAAAACTAACACTTTAACAATTATTTTGGAAAAAAAAAATTTGACGAAATTATCTATTTTTTTATAAAATATGTCTCGTTCCTATTATCGCCATTTAAATTTACACATATAATAAAATTCTGAGTCGTATCTGTACATTAAATATTTTCTGGTAAATCTTATTGAAATAATCATTATTATTGATACTGAGGCCGAATCTATAGTTTTTAGAATTTTTGTCTGTCTGTCTGGGAACGCATCACGAGAAAACCATTGGATAGATTTTGATTAAATTTCGTATGATGATAGCTGTTTTTCTGTGATGCGGTAACAGACAGACAGTCAGACAAAAATTCTAAAAACTATAGATTCGGCCTCGGTATCGATGATAATGTTTGTTTTAATAAGATTTTCCAAAAAATATTTAATGTACAGATTCGGCTTAGGTACAATTTTACTATATGTATAGATTACCGTGCTTATGCTATTCTGCAGGCCTTTTTAAGACTTACAATTTTCTCGTACATTGTTTTGATGTTTTCGTACATCTCTTAAGGCTTAGCCAGCGTTAGAGTTAGTCATGTAAATTTCTAAGAACGACTCGACAAAATCAGTTAAGGAGAGCATGAAAAATGTTCCTGTTGTAAAAGATACAGGACATACAAAAAAAAACCGACAAAGTTTTTAAAAACTAATGTATGGGGTTAAAAATATTTCTTAAACAAATATCATTTTGTTACTATTTTATTATATGTATAGATAAATAATAATATAGTAGTTGACGACACGTTTGGCTCAGTTTGTAGTGACGCTACTTATTGAACCAGCGGTCTCGGGTTCGAGTCCCGCCGGGGGCATTCATTTGTGTGATGAGCCCGAATGTTTGTACTCTAGTCATGGGTTAGTACTCTGTTTTTTTTTATTTGTGTAAAGTCAGAAATAATTAATCAAACATTATAAATAGTATAATAACATAAATATATATCTGCTGCATTCTGAAAACGTGATTTGTTAGAACTTGAATGCCTTTAGCGTATATTAAAAAAAAACAATTGTAATATTCTAAGAAAATGAAAGCATACAATTTTAAGTAAACGAAGAAAGTAGCACTACTTTTTGACCGACTTCAAAAAAAAGTTATATTTTTTGTGACGGTTTAAAACATTTAGATGTTTCTTATAGTCACGCTAAGAACTAACTCACAATATATCACTGTGATATATTCTGATCTCTGAAGTTTTTCTATTTCTTCCCACTCGATGCATTTGTATGCGTAAAGCGCTTTAGAATCGCGTCTGCTTCTACAAAATATATGGTTATTGGTTTGACATTTGAATATCTAAATTAATAAATAAGCGCGTGTGTACGTGTTTTTCCAATTCTAAGTTTTTTTTGTTAAACTAATGACGCACCCTCACTTCACCTAACACCACTTTTCTAAGGGTTTTATCTATACTCGTATTATACCTACATATAATAAAATTCTAACGGAGTCGAATCTGTACATTAGATATTTTTTGCAAAATCTTCTTGAAATAGTCATTATTATCGATGCAGAGAACGAATCTATAGTTTTTAGAATTTTTGTCGATCTGTCTGTTTGGCTGTGTGTTTGTCGTTCAGGCTGATAAGGTATGACGTGAAAACCACTGAACCAATTTTAATGAAATTTGGTATGATGATTGCTGGTTATCCGGGCCAACATATCGAATACTACTGTGGGAAAATATTTTCCTCTGAGTCTATACTAAACGTTAAAAGTAACTAGGGACGAACCCGAACGTAGAGAGGGTGTGTCGCTAGTACTTACATAATATGTACGTATTTATGATATATCAGTTAATAGAAATTATTTAATAAAATTAATAATTTTTGTATACGTTTATAATAAAGATTAACAAATTAAAAGACAGATTACAGATAAATGTCATAATAATTTGATCGAATCATCAGAAATATGTAAATTATTCATCAAGAAAAATAAAACCTGACTAGATATAAAAGTGAAACAATCAAGCTATTTTATTCGCGTAACAGTAATATTTAAAATATTATTTTTATTATTATGTAATATTTTATGTTATGAAAAGTTTTTACCGATTTTCAAAAAGGAGGTTGTTTTTCCGATATATATATTTTTTGCTTTTTTTGTTCGTCTGTACAACGTATACTTTTGGGGTACCTGAGCAATGACCTGATGATGTGGTCCAGATATAAGCGACCGAAATTCCTTTATTATTTCAAAAAAATTAACAGTGATTCGAAATATTTGATAATTTATTTATATTTTAAGCCTTTTTATTTATTTTTAGTACGTTTAAAAGTCCATTTATTTTTGTTTTATTTAAAACAACATTTTCATCTCACGTTAATCATTTATTTAATTTATATAGGTATACGAGTACTGTATAGCAACTAAATGTGTTTAATTGACACTGCATTAAATAAGGGTTCGATATTTGCGGAAGGTAAATGTCTACATTAACTATAATAAGTCTTATAACTATATGAAATACGATTTTTATTTCGAAGAAATCATTAATCATTCCACTGCTATATTAATACTGGTCTTTAATTAAGATATAAAAATTCTTTATATTTGTATAAAAATACAAGTTCCTTAAACCTTAATGATTCGTAAATTAATGATTTAAAATTAATTTTCATTCGAAGAGCTTATTATCTCATTCAATTAATGACTCATTAGCTTAAAGCTTTCCATTCCTTTACATATTATCTTACGAAAAAACGTTCAAATTTTTCATTATTTATATGTAAAATTTTAACCGTATAAGTAATTTTTCTAGTTATCCGGTATATTTCTAGTGTCTACTTTCTCGACAGAGAAAAAGTAAATGTATAAAAAAATTCAAATTTTAGACTTTAATCTGCTTTTATACACGAATGATACGATCTAAAGCTCAGAAACGTTTACTTTCATTTTATGAGTTAAAAAGTTGAATGAAATCACTTACATTAATTATGTATTTGTGAAAGAATTTAATATCCTGTATAGTTAACGAGAGTTTTGACAAGAAGCTTTCAAGTGTAACAACTTTTCTGTCAAATGAATGAATGATTATTTGTATACATACAAAATAAACTATTGAATAGGCAAAGAAAAAATCAGTGCAGCGCCATTTTTAGTCTGTTTGCCAGCCGATTTTTTTTGCTTAACAGCTATCGACGAGCTTTAGTGTTATCAATTAAAATATTTTTGGAAACATTTTCTTTTTTGTATAAAAAATACTATTTATATATGTTACTAGGGACGAACCCGAGCGGAGCGAGGGTGAGTTACGTTTTAACGTTTAGTATAGATTTCTCAGAGATGAGATATTTTTCCGCAGTATAAAGTATTCTATATGTTGACTCGGTTAACCAGCTATAATCAGACCAAATTTCATTAAAATTTGTCCAGTGGTTTTCTCGTGATGAGGTAACAGACAGACAGACAAAAATTCTAATAACTATAGATTCGGCCTCTGTATCGATAATAATGACTATTTCAATATGATTTTCCAAAAAAATATTTAATGTACAGATTCGACTCAGTTACAATTTTGTTATATGTATAGACTAGCGACTTACCCTCGCTTCACTCGGGTGTGTCCTTAGGTAAGTTTTGTTTTTTTTGAGCGGAACCCTAATTCTAAATAAACAGTTTTGAGCTTAATATATAATAGTAGTATTCACCACTGAAGGCAGTGGTAGCGCAGTGGTACGTGGCATGGCTACCAAGGGAAATACCACATGTATAGAGTTTATAATATTTTCTTAAGCTTTTTTTTTATCGTTCATCGTTTAACGTATGTGACCGACTTGAAGGAGGAAGTACTCAATTTTAGGTATTTTTTTTTGTAGTACAGATTCGACTAAGTTAGAATTTTATTATGTAATATAGATTTAAAGCGTATTAAACTTTTATTATCTTCACTTTATCTACGTTACTGTGTAACTAATCAATTCTTGACAGACAATTTTGTTCTACTTTTAATTTGTCGTTTTAATTTAGAACTTCATAAGTATGTCAACATCCGGAAGACATTACAATAATTTGACACCATAAAAATGATATTTTTATAGTGATGTGGATTTTAAATAAAACTATCTTATCGCGAATTTATTTTGATTTGTCCCGACCGGTTTCCGACTTTTCGAAAGATAGCAGCAATCATGGTCACGGGAGAGACTAAGGTTTTAGATGTCTCAAGGGTGTATTTATATAGTTGTTATTATATAGGCCTACCCACAAAATTACAAAGTGATTTCAAAAATACAAAAATGACACCTTACTAGAAATATACAGAAAAACATAAAATGACCTCCAAAACATTTATTGTTGATAACAAAAAGGAGTCTTTATAGATAACAATGCGCATAAAAACTACTCATTCAAACGAAACTGTCACTTAAATATAAACTCTATTTTCAAAGCCATAAAGCTCAAACTTTCGCATATACTTTTGAACTTTCTCAGCAACCTAAATCTAAGAGATCGAAGCAAATTATATTTAAACTGTAGGTAGAACTAGGGTAATACCATGTGGTGAGAAAGTCTTTCCTTTCGCGTTTTTTATTTGCATATTATATTACCATACTTTGTATAGTCATTAATGTCCATTATGGGATAGATTGTTTTCTAACGGTTTCAACACCATTTTAAAAGACGATGATTCAGATGAAAAACCAAGCAGTTATGTGTCTTCGTAAGAAGTTCTTTTCGGTTAACTCGTATGTGATTTACATTTGGCAAAGTTTGCAAAAAAAACTCTGAACTTAAAATATTGATTATAATATTATAATTATAGTTAAGATTAGAAGTTAATAAAATCATTTAAAGTAAATGAGGGTAAGAAATATGGTTTACGATGGGTGTCAATTTAAACTTTTAAAGCTATGATACTTGCTATTATTTTT